AGGGATGGTTCCACGTGGAGGGTCTTGCTGCATTGCTGCAAGAGTTGCTCATTATCTGCCTCAGGAAGGCCACGTACAATGATGCTGTTCTTGCGCTGTTGCTTGTCGACTTCCTCCTGCACCACTGCAGCGAAATCAACGACTTTGTCTGCGGGCGGTTCCATAACAGTCCAGGCTGGTGTAGACTGTACGGGCTGTACGGAGTCTGGGGTTAGAGTTCCGTACCGTACTTCAAGCGAGGACAGACGGTTCTCCAAGCTGTCGATTGTCTTTTTCATCTTCAAGTTTTCCGCCATGATGCCTTCCATTTTCGAACCAATTTGCTGGACGATGGCCTCCATGCTCTCCCTTGAGTTCGTCTGCTCGCTACGGATTTCCAGAAGCAGGTCGTTGATGTTACCAAGGTTATAGGAGTCAGCAGATTCGCTTCTCTTCTTCTGAACTCCCTCCAACGGTGACGTTGGTTTGGTTTTTTGGGCCATCCGTTGAGAAATCGTACTGGGTGTTCTGCTCTGGGTAGCCATGGCCTACTCACAGCTACGTTCACTCACACACTACAAAATTAATGATTGCTATGTTCTTAGAAGCTAGATACAGATAACTGGTTGGCCGGAAAGATCCAAAGTGTGCGAAAAACCGCAGAGCTCGAAAACATGCAACCGACCCGTACAGTAACAAAAAAGTCATGAATCTCGATTGAGTACTGGCAGATGGTCATTGCAACTCGAAAGAAGAAAGAGGAAACTGTATTGCTGTAACTCAGAATTTCAAGCACGGGCGATCACCAACCTCATAGTCATGGCACGGTTGGCTAGTGCAGTGCTAGCTGATGCGGAAACTCAAGAGTTGCAGAAAATTATACTGAAGTACATGATGCCGTACGGGCTACATCCAGGTGCACAGAGCACTCACTCGAGCTACCACAATTGGGTAGAATTCATATTCACGTAATTCTATAATCAAATTTCAAAAAAAACTGATCTTGTGCCATGATTGTGTTGTGTGTACCATATGGAGTGGAAATATATCGCTAAGCCGATAAGCCGATCGTTATGATTTCAGCTAAGCCACTAAGGAAATATCACGATCGTTTCAGCCCTAGTAGAAAGTTCTGGAAATCTAAGCAATATCAAGGCTATAATAGCTATAAAGAGAACAAATTCTGCTGTCATCGCCACACTACAACAAAGTCATGAAGGTTTACCAAAATCGATTTTCTTGTCACAATCATCAGTGGAAAGCCGTGACTGAAGAGTAACCATGCTGAATCAATGATTAATATACATTACAGCACAGCAGAATTTGTTCTCTTTATAGCTATTATAAAATTGTTGTCTCCACGTCGATTATTTAAATATCAAGGCTCCCTGGCTTTCGTGACATGTGTCAACGCGACACTGAATACGAGCATTCACAAAATCGCTATCGAGCTGCCCCAAGAAAATGAGATGCCTGGATGCCTTCTCATTGATGATGCAGGCAGGCTTGTTGGACAGCCGGATGATATATCCTGCAGGCTACATTTTATGGGTAGAAAAATTGCCCTGGGAGGCACCGTTGCGTCTTTCGCTTTGCGGTGAATGTTGTACACAATTTGTCGAGGTTATCTTAGGCACTCCTTCTGCTGTTCAAGTGGAAGATGATGCCAGGGTTCTGATTTGGTTCCTAAATGATCCCTGTTAGAATGAATTGAGAAGAGCTAAGCCATAGGTGATCAACAATATACCACCTATTGTACCTGACTACGATAATTATAGGTTTCTGGGGTACAAACGGACCCCATTCATGATTTCCGAAATAAAATTGAAACCAATCAAAAACTTCTAGCCCAGACAATTTGATTTCCTCTCATATAGTTTATACAAAGAGAAAGACCAAGGAACTACAAGTTACCCCCGGTCCATTCTCATATTGTTGTTGAGGAATGCCTGTAATTTCATGCTGATATCATGAAAGAAAATAAAGATATACCAAAAACCAGACTCCTGGGGTCCGTTTGGATCCCATTTTTTATTATTTTTTTGTTTCTACACACACACCACAAAAAAATGGAAAAAAATGAAAAATAGGGATTCACTGGCCAGAAAAAGTCACTTCAATCAGCTGTGTGGTGGATACCAGGCTAAAAATAGTGGCGGTCAATTCATCAGCCTTGCAAGCTGTTGAATGGTGTAATCCCAGCACAAGTTGCTATGTCTAACATAGCTGTTCGCTATCATCGCTTCCGTGATGGGCAGGTCTGAGGTGAGGTGAGGTTTGGACCCCACAACCCGGCATGAGGGTTAAGTTGCCGGGTATTTTGGAAAGTGGAATATGATGGATAAGACAGCACATCATGATTCGTCGTCTTTCTAGGAGAGGTCTGGTCGAGGGTAACATAATATTATAGAGAGCGATCCTAGAAAGGGACTTGGGCATATGATGAAGAACCCTGACCCGTTGCGTGCTGAGTACGAGTTAACTCGCGCTTTATGCATGACCTGATCCACTACGTACGAGTTAACTAGCAAAACAAATGCTCTATATATCGCAGTGCATAGACCAGTGTACAAACCTTCGTAACTTCGTCAAACGTAAACGCATCGCGACATTCAATACATCGGTGGAAAGGGCTTGACCTTATCTTTCCGGGGTATAACGTTCTTTGCGATAGGAGAAGAATTCATTGAGCGGCAACATGATGAACCCAGAAATCACAGGCCAAAGGGGACGCAAATTTTTTGTTCATGACTACGTTTTGAGGAGCGTATTTCCCTTTGGCATGGCGCATGCGTGATGGACATCCACTGAAGTGCGTGGATGTCAGCTTTGCAGCGCAGTTTGAATTGTGAAAATCGGAGGATATCGGTTCGAAAGGCGTTTCTCTTGCTTTCATGCGATTAGTCAAACTCGCCAAATGGCCAATGGTATGCTGACGTTGCCATAGCGACAGATGCAGTGTTGACATACTTTCGGCTTAGCTCCCCCAGTTTGCAGGTCGATCCCTGCAGAATTTAGTCGTTTTCAATTGGTCTATTGTATTCACGAAGTGAAAGAGGGGCTGTGTTCAATGCTGTTAGTGAACTGTTTGTTAGGCCGCGGTCACCCGGGCGCGATTCCGCCATTCACCGAAAAAAGCACTTGTTTACGTCACTATTACCATGGAAATGGCTGAACGGCGACTTTCTGCCGTTTTTCTGCTTGTTTGAGCCACAGCTTTTACAAGCGGCTGTTGAAAACCTAAAAGTAGAATTTTGTCAACAGTAACGTTTTCTTTATTTTCTCGATTTGTTGGCAAAATTCTAAGCCACCTTTTAGTGTTGCGTGGCTCATAATCTGATGCACTGCCGTCTAGTTGCTGCGCTTTCATTCACCTTCAAGTTGACCTACCTTCCAACAACAAGCCCTTCCTTCCACCTCCAACCAACCCAGACCAGTGGGTGGTCGATCCACTAGGTTAGCCGTGGAGATGGCCCACTGCCACCTGCTCCAACTCAAGTCAAAGTTGCCCGTGAGCTCTTGTAGCAGCCTCCAGGGTTCCTACTAAGACTGCATTATTTCCTGGTGGAACAGCCTACCAGAGACCATTCTACTAGCACGCCCGCAACCCAGACTGCTCCAGTCCTTCAAGAAAAAGTGCAACAAGTATCTGCTGCACCTGAACTGGCAAACAGCCGCCGACACCTTATGCAACGGTTTAGACCAGCGCCTCACTAGCACCCCCCCCCCCCTCCTTATCACAATGTGACGTTATCTTTCACTCTGCTTCTCTCACGACCATCTATCCATTGTCATTGTTCCTCACTATTATTCATTCCCCCTCCTCTTCCCCTCGCTATGGTTCTCCTTTTTTTACGGGCAAATTACCACAATGGGTTAAAATGCAATAAATCATACACACAAGAAGAAATCAGAAAAATGCATGTGGTTCTACTGCACTATGGCACGTTTTGTCTGTGTAGACGTTGACACGTTCAAGGTCGGCAGAGCAGCCTGGCCCTGCCACCACTTCTCGCACATATTCGGGAAGATAATGGACTTTCTTACAGAAAAAATAAAAACAATCATGACGGCGGGGTTTGTTCTTTCATTGTTACTTTAAATAAAACTGTTTTTTCCTCCGTCTATTATTTACATACCACAAACGTCCTTGCAATACTTACGAATGCAGATTGGTACCGAAGTAAGCTTGTTTCTGATGGTGCAATTTGGTGTGCTATCACCTTCAAGCAAAAATCCCTTGTTGCAAGAATAGATAACAGTATCATTATACTGAATATCCATCCTATCAGCAGTGCCATGTGCAATAGCAGGCACACTGCATTCGGGAACTGCACGCAGAAAGAGGATAACAGGAACAATGTTAGACTCGGCTGCAGAGCCAAGGATTGATTTATAAGTAGAAATGAAGGCCAAGGAACTACAAGTTACGCTATAATGTCCTCAAACACCACCAGTTACTAAACAAACCTCTCGTGCGACAACAATGCACGACACTGACCAACGGTACTGATGGTCTACACCTGTCAATCAGCTTTAGCACATCTTGCATGTGCACTCCAACAGCAAAGCACAGCACGATATATGAAGAAGAAACAAGCAAGAAATAATGTACATGATTGAAGTACTTACAATAACATAATGGTACTGGACGAAGACTACCATCACCAAAACATGTAACTGTGGAACTTCCTTGAAAAAAGTACCCATCCTGACATGTGTACTGAAACGTATCACCAGGTTCAATGAGTATGGCGTTACTCATGCCAGTACGTAGCCTGAGTGAAGAATTAATCATTCCAAATTGTATAGCAGATACACTGCAATTGAGAACTGGACATAAGGTCAAGAGAAGAAAAAGAAGAATGGAAATTATCCCTAGTTTTGACGGTTCTAGTGAGGGTATTCTTCCTGCCTGAAACTCTCCGGAACTCCAGAAAAAAGTTCATACTTGGAGTATTACTCAATCTTCGCTAGTTGGAGTATTATCATTTTATAACTTTCCACTATTAACTTTGTTATCAATCCGAACCCTTACCATCACAGTAGGGCACTGAAGTGAGATTTCCATCAGCCGTGCAATTTGGTGTGGCATCACCCACGATCCCCTGACCCTCTTGGCAAGAATAGGTAACACTGTGCGTGAATTGGACAACGGTTCTGTCAGCAGTGCCATTGGCAATGACAGGTACGTTACAGTACAGCGCTGTGCACAGAATAACGAAAACAAAATTTAATGATACATTTACTATTTTAGCATCAGTATAGTGTTGATTGAGAGCAATAAATACGCAGTCTGCGTAAGAGTTCTCGGTGTCAAGTAAAAAGTAAATTCTCATGAGAAATAATAACAATGCGAGACTCAGAGAGGGTGAAGTGCAAGGAGTATAATGAAACGCCTGTTGTCCAACAGTCGGTGCCGTTCAGTTTATGATGGAACTTGTTTCACAGTGTTGTGCCGTGCTCGTAGGTTTAGTGAACTTAAAGTATTGAAAGCTGTGTTCATTCACAAATATAACCCCAAGCAATGCATCCAGAAAGATGATGTCCGTATACACCACTACCTTCTTTACAACACCAGAGTGCAAAACGATGATTGGTGGCTGGGATTCCAAATTGTGTTCAGGGATCTTTGTGGTGGCAGTTTGAGCGTTGTCCCAAAGCTTGCCATACTGATAGATGTACTGACCAATACCACTGACATCCATTCCCTTGTTTACTTTCACTCAGACCATGATTTCAGCATAATTGTATTTCAATGATACGAGCGAATACTCGCGTTTTGCAGCACGTGAAGATGTTGCCTGAAGAGTGCAGCCGGTTTGAATTTTTAGGGATCCCTTTTCTCAGCACAGGCTGCAGCCAGCTGGCGTCGTCTGGCAAGGTAGAGTACTGATAATACTACGCTCTGTTTTGCGCCGTGTGAAGCCCTCCATCAGTGTCTGCAACATCATTGTTGTCGATGTAGAAATACGGACCGCTCAGTGGGTCGACATTCAGCTTCTCCTCGCAGTCGCTATTACTCCAGCGCTGACTATCGTCGCCACCAGTATCCAGTGTCGATTTTATGAGGGCTCTTCGTTGCTATGCATATAAGACTCGCCACTGCTGAACAAACTCAGCGAGATCGCCACCAAAGAAATAATTCCGATCGCGAACTAACTTTCAGCGCCGCTTCGTAAAGGGAGTCTCACGCTGACAACTCTGGACCTAAGTCCTTGTCGCGACACCTGTCGCCATCGCTGTGTCTAAACTCAACCTCCCTGTGACGAGCTCTCACCTAGCGCTAAAATCAATTGACCAGAGACATTTGAAGACACTTGAAACTCCTTTGACAACAAAGACACCCAGTCGATCGAAAAGAATCTTCAAACGCCACCTCACTGCGCGTCCCAAACTTTGACGTCACATTTTGATGATTGATATCAAGTACACAAGTGCTGGTTTTTGCTGGCCGGGGCTCAAAAGTTTATAACTTTTTTCACTATTAACTTTGTTATCCATCCGAACACTTACCATGACAGTAGGGCACTGAAGTGAGATTTCCATCAGCCGTGCAATTTGGTGTGGCATCACCCACGATCCGCTGACCCTCTTGGCAAGAATAGGTAACATTGTGCGTGAATTGGACAACGGCTCTGTCAGCAGTGCCATTGTCAATGAGAGGTACGTTACAGTACAGCGCTGTGCACAGAATAACGAAAACAAAATTTAATGATACATTTACTGTTTTAGCATCAGTATCGTGTTGATTGAGAGCGATAAAAGCACAGTCTGAGTAAGAGTTCTCGGTGTCAAGTAAAAAGTAAATTCTCATGAAAAATAATAACAATGCGGGACTCAGAGAGGGTGAAGTGCAAGGAGTATAATGAAACGCCTGTTGTCCAACAGTCGGTGTCGTTCAGTTTATGATGGCACTTGTTTCACAGTGTTGTGCCGTGCTCGTAGGTTTAGTACACTTAAAGTATTGAAAGCTGTGTTCATTCGCAAATATTACCCCAAGCTATGCATCCAGAAAGAAGATGTCCGTATACACCACTACCTTCTTTACAACACCAGAGTGCAAAACGATGATTGGTGGCTGGCCTTCCAAATTGTGTTCAGGGACCTCTGTGGTGGCAGTTTGAGCGTTGTCCCAAAGCTTGCCATACTGATAGATGTACTGACCAATACCACTGACATCCACTCCCTTCCACACTTTCACTCAGACCATGATTTCAGCATAATTGTATTTCAATGATACGAGCGAATACTCGCGTTTTGTAGCACGTGAAGATGTTGCCCCAAAGCGTTCAGCCGGTTTGACTTTCTAGGGATCCCTTTTCTCAGCACAGGCTGCAGCCAGCTTGGCGTCGTCTGGCAAGGTAGAGTACTGATAATACTACGCTCTGTTTTGCGCCGTGAGAAGCCCTCCATCAGTGTCTGCAACATCATTGTTGTCGATGTAGAAATACGGACCGCTCAGTGGGTCGACATTCAGCTTCTCCTCGCAGTCGCTATTACTCCAGCGCTGACTATCGTCGCCACCAGTATCCAGTGTCGATTTTATGAGGGCTCTTCGTTGCTATGCATATAAGACTCGCCACTGCTGAACAAACTCAGCGAGATCGCCACCAAAGAAATAATTCCGATCGCGAACTAACTTTCAGCGCCGCTTCGTAAAGGGAGTCTCACGCTGACAACTCTGGACCTAAATCCTTGTCGCGACACCTGTCGCCATCGCTGTGTCTAAACTCAACCTCCCTGTGACGAGCTCTCACCTAGCGCTAAAATCAATTGACCAGAGACATTTGAAGACACTTGAAACTCCTTTGACAACAAAGACACCCAGTCGATCGAAAAGAATCTTCAAACGCCGCCTCACTGCGCGTCCCAAACTTTGACGTCACATTTTGATGATTGATATCAAGTACACAAGTGCTGGTTTTTGCTGGCCGGGGCTCAAAAGTTTATAACTTTTTTCACTATTAACTTTGTTATCCATCCGAACACTTACCATGACAGTAGGGCACTGAAGTGAGATTTCCATCAGCCGTGCAATTTGGTGTGGCATCACCCACGATCCGCTGACCCTCTTGGCAAGAATAGGTAACATTGTGCGTGAATTGGACAACGGCTCTGTCAGCAGTGCCATTGTCAATGAGAGGTACGTTACAGTACAGCGCTGTGCACAGAATAACGAAAACAAAATTTAATGATACATTTACTGTTTTAGCATCAGTATCGTGTTGATTGAGAGCGATAAAAGCACAGTCTGAGTAAGAGTTCTCGGTGTCAAGTAAAAAGTAAATTCTCATGAAAAATAATAACAATGCGGGACTCAGAGAGGGTGAAGTGCAAGGAGTATAATGAAACGCCTGTTGTCCAACAGTCGGTGTCGTTCAGTTTATGATGGCACTTGTTTCACAGTGTTGTGCCGTGCTCGTAGGTTTAGTACACTTAAAGTATTGAAAGCTGTGTTCATTCGCAAATATTACCCCAAGCTATGCATCCAGAAAGAAGATGTCCGTATACACCACTACCTTCTTTACAACACCAGAGTGCAAAACGATGATTGGTGGCTGGCCTTCCAAATTGTGTTCAGGGACCTCTGTGGTGGCAGTTTGAGCGTTGTCCCAAAGCTTGCCATACTGATAGATGTACTGACCAATACCACTGACATCCACTCCCTTCCACACTTTCACTCAGACCATGATTTCAGCATAATTGTATTTCAATGATACGAGCGAATACTCGCGTTTTGTAGCACGTGAAGATGTTGCCCCAAAGCGTTCAGCCGGTTTGACTTTCTAGGGATCCCTTTTCTCAGCACAGGCTGCAGCCAGCTTGGCGTCGTCTGGCAAGGTAGAGTACTGATAATACTACGCTCTGTTTTGCGCCGTGAGAAGCCCTCCATCAGTGTCTGCAACATCATTGTTGTCGATGTAGAAATACGGACCGCTCAGTGGGTCGACATTCAGCTTCTCCTCGCAGTCGCTATTACTCCAGCGCTGACTATCGTCGCCACCAGTATCCAGTGTCGATTTTATGAGGGCTCTTCGTTGCTATGCATATAAGACTCGCCACTGCTGAACAAACTCAGCGAGATCGCCACCAAAGAAATAATTCCGATCGCGAACTAACTTTCAGCGCCGCTTCGTAAAGGGAGTCTCACGCTGACAACTCTGGACCTAAGTCCTTGTCGCGACACCTGTCGCCATCGCTGTGTCTAAACTCAACCTCCCTGTGACGAGCTCTCACCTAGCGCTAAAATCAATTGACCAGAGACATTTGAAGACACTTGAAACTCCTTTGACAACAAAGACACCCAGTCGATCGAAAAGAATCTTCAAACGCCACCTCACTGCGCGTCCCAAACTTTGACGTCACATTTTGATGATTGATATCAAGTACACAAGTGCTGGTTTTTGCTGGCCGGGGCTCAAAAGTTTATAACTTTTTTCACTATTAACTTTGTTATCCATCCGAACACTTACCATGACAGTAGGGCACTGAAGTGAGATTTCCATCAGCCGTGCAATTTGGTGTGGCATCACCCACGATCCGCTGACCCTCTTGGCAAGAATAGGTAACATTGTGCGTGAATTGGACAACGGCTCTGTCAGCAGTGCCATTGTCAATGAGAGGTACGTTACAGTACAGCGCTGTGCACAGAATAACGAAAACAAAATTTAATGATACATTTACTGTTTTAGCATCAGTATCGTGTTGATTGAGAGCGATAAAAGCACAGTCTGAGTAAGAGTTCTCGGTGTCAAGTAAAAAGTAAATTCTCATGAAAAATAATAACAATGCGGGACTCAGAGAGGGTGAAGTGCAAGGAGTATAATGAAACGCCTGTTGTCCAACAGTCGGTGTCGTTCAGTTTATGATGGCACTTGTTTCACAGTGTTGTGCCGTGCTCGTAGGTTTAGTACACTTAAAGTATTGAAAGCTGTGTTCATTCGCAAATATTACCCCAAGCTATGCATCCAGAAAGAAGATGTCCGTATACACCACTACCTTCTTTACAACACCAGAGTGCAAAACGATGATTGGTGGCTGGCCTTCCAAATTGTGTTCAGGGACCTCTGTGGTGGCAGTTTGAGCGTTGTCCCAAAGCTTGCCATACTGATAGATGTACTGACCAATACCACTGACATCCACTCCCTTCCACACTTTCACTCAGACCATGATTTCAGCATAATTGTATTTCAATGATACGAGCGAATACTCGCGTTTTGTAGCACGTGAAGATGTTGCCCCAAAGCGTTCAGCCGGTTTGACTTTCTAGGGATCCCTTTTCTCAGCACAGGCTGCAGCCAGCTTGGCGTCGTCTGGCAAGGTAGAGTACTGATAATACTACGCTCTGTTTTGCGCCGTGAGAAGCCCTCCATCAGTGTCTGCAACATCATTGTTGTCGATGTAGAAATACGGACCGCTCAGTGGGTCGACATTCAGCTTCTCCTCGCAGTCGCTATTACTCCAGCGCTGACTATCGTCGCCACCAGTATCCAGTGTCGATTTTATGAGGGCTCTTCGTTGCTATGCATATAAGACTCGCCACTGCTGAACAAACTCAGCGAGATCGCCACCAAAGAAATAATTCCGATCGCGAACTAACTTTCAGCGCCGCTTCGTAAAGGGAGTCTCACGCTGACAACTCTGGACCTAAGTCCTTGTCGCGACACCTGTCGCCATCGCTGTGTCTAAACTCAACCTCCCTGTGACGAGCTCTCACCTAGCGCTAAAATCAATTGACCAGAGACATTTGAAGACACTTGAAACTCCTTTGACAACAAAGACACCCAGTCGATCGAAAAGAATCTTCAAACGCCACCTCACTGCGCGTCCCAAACTTTGACGTCACATTTTGATGATTGATATCAAGTACACAAGTGCTGGTTTTTGGTGGCCGGGGCTCAAAAGTTTATAACTTTTTTCACTATTAACTTTGTTATCCATCCGAACACTTACCATGACAGTAGGGCACTGAAGTGAGATTTCCATCAGCCGTGCAATTTGGTGTGGCATCACCCACGATCCGCTGACCCTCTTGGCAAGAATAGGTAACATTGTGCGTGAATTGGACAACGGCTCTGTCAGCAGTGCCATTGTCAATGAGAGGTACGTTACAGTACAGCGCTGTGCACAGAATAACGAAAACAAAATTTAATGATACATTTACTGTTTTAGCATCAGTATCGTGTTGATTGAGAGCGATAAAAGCACAGTCTGAGTAAGAGTTCTCGGTGTCAAGTAAAAAGTAAATTCTCATGAAAAATAATAACAATGCGGGACTCAGAGAGGGTGAAGTGCAAGGAGTATAATGAAACGCCTGTTGTCCAACAGTCGGTGTCGTTCAGTTTATGATGGCACTTGTTTCACAGTGTTGTGCCGTGCTCGTAGGTTTAGTACACTTAAAGTATTGAAAGCTGTGTTCATTCGCAAATATTACCCCAAGCTATGCATCCAGAAAGAAGATGTCCGTATACACCACTACCTTCTTTACAACACCAGAGTGCAAAACGATGATTGGTGGCTGGCCTTCCAAATTGTGTTCAGGGACCTCTGTGGTGGCAGTTTGAGCGTTGTCCCAAAGCTTGCCATACTGATAGATGTACTGACCAATACCACTGACATCCACTCCCTTCCACACTTTCACTCAGACCATGATTTCAGCATAATTGTATTTCAATGATACGAGCGAATACTCGCGTTTTGTAGCACGTGAAGATGTTGCCCCAAAGCGTTCAGCCGGTTTGACTTTCTAGGGATCCCTTTTCTCAGCACAGGCTGCAGCCAGCTTGGCGTCGTCTGGCAAGGTAGAGTACTGATAATACTACGCTCTGTTTTGCGCCGTGAGAAGCCCTCCATCAGTGTCTGCAACATCATTGTTGTCGATGTAGAAATACGGACCGCTCAGTGGGTCGACATTCAGCTTCTCCTCGCAGTCGCTATTACTCCAGCGCTGACTATCGTCGCCACCAGTATCCAGTGTCGATTTTATGAGGGCTCTTCGTTGCTATGCATATAAGACTCGCCACTGCTGAACAAACTCAGCGAGATCGCCACCAAAGAAATAATTCCGATCGCGAACTAACTTTCAGCGCCGCTTCGTAAAGGGAGTCTCACGCTGACAACTCTGGACCTAAGTCCTTGTCGCGACACCTGTCGCCATCGCTGTGTCTAAACTCAACCTCCCTGTGACGAGCTCTCACCTAGCGCTAAAATCAATTGACCAGAGACATTTGAAGACACTTGAAACTCCTTTGACAACAAAGACACCCAGTCGATCGAAAAGAATCTTCAAACGCCACCTCACTGCGCGTCCCAAACTTTGACGTCACATTTTGATGATTGATATCAAGTACACAAGTGCTGGTTTTTGCTGGCCGGGGCTCAAAAGTTTATAACTTTTTTCACTATTAACTTTGTTATCCATCCGAACACTTACCATGACAGTAGGGCACTGAAGTGAGATTTCCATCAGCCGTGCAATTTGGTGTGGCATCACCCACGATCCGCTGACCCTCTTGGCAAGAATAGGTAACATTGTGCGTGAATTGGACAACGGCTCTGTCAGCAGTGCCATTGTCAATGAGAGGTACGTTACAGTACAGCGCTGTGCACAGAATAACGAAAACAAAATTTAATGATACATTTACTGTTTTAGCATCAGTATCGTGTTGATTGAGAGCGATAAAAGCACAGTCTGAGTAAGAGTTCTCGGTGTCAAGTAAAAAGTAAATTCTCATGAAAAATAATAACAATGCGGGACTCAGAGAGGGTGAAGTGCAAGGAGTATAATGAAACGCCTGTTGTCCAACAGTCGGTGTCGTTCAGTTTATGATGGCACTTGTTTCACAGTGTTGTGCCGTGCTCGTAGGTTTAGTACACTTAAAGTATTGAAAGCTGTGTTCATTCGCAAATATTACCCCAAGCTATGCATCCAGAAAGAAGATGTCCGTATACACCACTACCTTCTTTACAACACCAGAGTGCAAAACGATGATTGGTGGCTGGCCTTCCAAATTGTGTTCAGGGACCTCTGTGGTGGCAGTTTGAGCGTTGTCCCAAAGCTTGCCATACTGATAGATGTACTGACCAATACCACTGACATCCACTCCCTTCCACACTTTCACTCAGACCATGATTTCAGCATAATTGTATTTCAATGATACGAGCGAATACTCGCGTTTTGTAGCACGTGAAGATGTTGCCCCAAAGCGTTCAGCCGGTTTGACTTTCTAGGGATCCCTTTTCTCAGCACAGGCTGCAGCCAGCTTGGCGTCGTCTGGCAAGGTAGAGTACTGATAATACTACGCTCTGTTTTGCGCCGTGAGAAGCCCTCCATCAGTGTCTGCAACATCATTGTTGTCGATGTAGAAATACGGACCGCTCAGTGGGTCGACATTCAGCTTCTCCTCGCAGTCGCTATTACTCCAGCGCTGACTATCGTCGCCACCAGTATCCAGTGTCGATTTTATGAGGGCTCTTCGTTGCTATGCATATAAGACTCGCCACTGCTGAACAAACTCAGCGAGATCGCCACCAAAGAAATAATTCCGATCGCGAACTAACTTTCAGCGCCGCTTCGTAAAGGGAGTCTCACGCTGACAACTCTGGACCTAAGTCCTTGTCGCGACACCTGTCGCCATCGCTGTGTCTAAACTCAACCTCCCTGTGACGAGCTCTCACCTAGCGCTAAAATCAATTGACCAGAGACATTTGAAGACACTTGAAACTCCTTTGACAACAAAGACACCCAGTCGATCGAAAAGAATCTTCAAACGCCACCTCACTGCGCGTTCCAAACTTTGACGTCACATTTTGATGATTGATATCAAGTACACAAGTGCTGGTTTTTGCTGGCCGGGGCTCAAAAGTTTATAACTTTTTTCACTATTAACTTTGTTATCCATCCGAACACTTACCATGACAGTAGGGCACTGAAGTGAGATTTCCATCAGCCGTGCAATTTGGTGTGGCATCACCCACGATCCGCTGACCCTCTTGGCAAGAATAGGTAACATTGTGCGTGAATTGGACAACGGCTCTGTCAGCAGTGCCATTGTCAATGAGAGGTACGTTACAGTACAGCGCTGTGCACAGAATAACGAAAACAAAATTTAATGATACATTTACTGTTTTAGCATCAGTATCGTGTTGATTGAGAGCGATAAAAGCACAGTCTGAGTAAGAGTTCTCGGTGTCAAGTAAAAAGTAAATTCTCATGAAAAATAATAACAATGCGGGACTCAGAGAGGGTGAAGTGCAAGGAGTATAATGAAACGCCTGTTGTCCAACAGTCGGTGTCGTTCAGTTTATGATGGCACTTGTTTCACAGTGTTGTGCCGTGCTCGTAGGTTTAGTACACTTAAAGTATTGAAAGCTGTGTTCATTCGCAAATATTACCCCAAGCTATGCATCCAGAAAGAAGATGTCCGTATACACCACTACCTTCTTTACAACACCAGAGTGCAAAACGATGATTGGTGGCTGGCCTTCCAAATTGTGTTCAGGGACCTCTGTGGTGGCAGTTTGAGCGTTGTCCCAAAGCTTGCCATACTGATAGATGTACTGACCAATACCACTGACATCCACTCCCTTCCACACTTTCACTCAGACCATGATTTCAGCATAATTGTATTTCAATGATACGAGCGAATACTCGCGTTTTGTAGCACGTGAAGATGTTGCCCCAAAGCGTTCAGCCGGTTTGACTTTCTAGGGATCCCTTTTCTCAGCACAGGCTGCAGCCAGCTTGGCGTCGTCTGGCAAGGTAGAGTACTGATAATACTACGCTCTGTTTTGCGCCGTGAGAAGCCCTCCATCAGTGTCTGCAACATCATTGTTGTCGATGTAGAAATACGGACCGCTCAGTGGGTCGACATTCAGCTTCTCCTCGCAGTCGCTATTACTCCAGCGCTGACTATCGTCGCCACCAGTATCCAGTGTCGATTTTATGAGGGCTCTTCGTTGCTATGCATATAAGACTCGCCACTGCTGAACAAACTCAGCGAGATCGCCACCAAAGAAATAATTCCGATCGCGAACTAACTTTCAGCGCCGCTTCGTAAAGGGAGTCTCACGCTGACAACTCTGGACCTAAGTCCTTGTCGCGACACCTGTCGCCATCGCTGTGTCTAAACTCAACCTCCCTGTGACGAGCTCTCACCTAGCGCTAAAATCAATTGACCAGAGACATTTGAAGACACTTGAAACTCCTTTGACAACAAAGACACCCAGTCGATCGAAAAGAATCTTCAAACGCCACCTCACTGCGCGTCCCAAACTTTGACGTCACATTTTGATGATTGATATCAAGTACACAAGTGCTGGTTTTTGCTGGCCGGGGCTCAAAAGTTTATAACTTTTTTCACTATTAACTTTGTTATCCATCCGAACACTTACCATGACAGTAGGGCACTGAAGTGAGATTTCCATCAGCCGTGCAATTTGGTGTGGCATCACCCACGATCCGCTGACCCTCTTGGCAAGAATAGGTAACATTGTGCGTGAATTGGACAACGGCTCTGTCAGCAGTGCCATTGTCAATGAGAGGTACGTTACAGTACAGCGCTGTGCACAGAATAACGAAAACAAAATTTAATGATACATTTACTGTTTTAGCATCAGTATCGTGTTGATTGAGAGCGATAAAAGCACAGTCTGAGTAAGAGTTCTCGGTGTCAAGTAAAAAGTAAATTCTCATGAAAAATAATAACAATGCGGGACTCAGAGAGGGTGAAGTGCAAGGAGTATAATGAAACGCCTGTTGTCCAACAGTCGGTGTCGTTCAGTTTATGATGGCACTTGTTTCACAGTGTTGTGCCGTGCTCGTAGGTTTAGTACACTTAAAGTATTGAAAGCTGTGTTCATTCGCAAATATTACCCCAAGCTATGCATCCAGAAAGAAGATGTCCGTATACACCACTACCTTCTTTACAACACCAGAGTGCAAAACGATGATTGGTGGCTGGCCTTCCAAATTGTGTTCAGGGACCTCTGTGGTGGCAGTTTGAGCGTTGTCCCAAAGCTTGCCATACTGATAGATGTACTGACCAATACCACTGACATCCACTCCCTTCCACACTTTCACTCAGACCATGATTTCAGCATAATTGTATTTCAATGATACGAGCGAATACTCGCGTTTTGTAGCACGTGAAGATGTTGCCCCAAAGCGTTCAGCCGGTTTGACTTTCTAGGGATCCCTTTTCTCAGCACAGGCTGCAGCCAGCTTGGCGTCGTCTGGCAAGGTAGAGTACTGATAATACTACGCTCTGTTTTGCGCCGTGAGAAGCCCTCCATCAGTGTCTGCAACATCATTGTTGTCGATGTAGAAATACGGACCGCTCAGTGGGTCGACATTCAGCTTCTCCTCGCAGTCGCTATTACTCCAGCGCTGACTATCGTCGCCACCAGTATCCAGTGTCGATTTTATGAGGGCTCTTCGTTGCTATGCATATAAGACTCGCCACTGCTGAACAAACTCAGCGAGATCGCCACCAAAGAAATAATTCCGATCGCGAACTAACTTTCAGCGCCGCTTCGTAAAGGGAGTCTCACGCTGACAACTCTGGACCTAAGTCCTTGTCGCGACACCTGTCGCCATCGCTGTGTCTAAACTCAACCTCCCTGTGACGAGCTCTCACCTAGCGCTAAAATCAATTGACCAGAGACATTTGAAGACACTTGAAACTCCTTTGACAACAAAGACACCCAGTCGATCGAAAAGAATCTTCAAACGCCACCTCACTGCGCGTCCCAAACTTTGACGTCACATTTTGATGATTGATATCAAGTACACAAGTGCTGGTTTTTGCTGGCCGGGGCTCAAAAGTTTATAACTTTTTTCACTATTAACTTTGTTATCCATCCGAACACTTACCATGACAGTAGGGCACTGAAGTGAGATTTCCATCAGCCGTGCAATTTGGTGTGGCATCACCCACGATCCGCTGACCCTCTTGGCAAGAATAGGTAACATTGTGCGTGAATTGGACAACGGCTCTGTCAGCAGTGCCATTGTCAATGAGAGGTACGTTACAGTACAGCGCTGTGCACAGAATAACGAAAACAAAATTTAATGATACATTTACTGTTTTAGCATCAGTATCGTGTTGATTGAGAGCGATAAAAGCACAGTCTGAGTAAGAGTTCTCGGTGTCAAGTAAAAAGTAAATTCTCATGAAAAATAATAACAATGCGGGACTCAGAGAGGGTGAAGTGCAAGGAGTATAATGAAACGCCTGTTGTCCAACAGTCGGTGTCGTTCAGTTTATGATGGCACTTGTTTCACAGTGTTGTGCCGTGCTCGTAGGTTTAGTACACTTAAAGTATTGAAAGCTGTGTTCATTCGCAAATATTACCCCAAGCTATGCATCCAGAAAGAAGATGTCCGTATACACCACTACCTTCTTTACAACACCAGAGTGCAAAACGATGATTGGTGGCTGGCCTTCCAAATTGTGTTCAGGGACCTCTGTGGTGGCAGTTTGAGCGTTGTCCCAAAGCTTGCCATACTGATAGATGTACTGACCAATACCACTGACATCCACTCCCTTCCACACTTTCACTCAGACCATGATTTCAGCATAATTGTATTTCAATGATACGAGCGAATACTCGCGTTTTGTAGCACGTGAAGATGTTGCCCCAAAGCGTTCAGCCGGTTTGACTTTCTAGGGATCCCTTTTCTCAGCACAGGCTGCAGCCAGCTTGGCGTCGTCTGGCAAGGTAGAGTACTGATAATACTACGCTCTGTTTTGCGCCGTGAGAAGCCCTCCATCAGTGTCTGCAACATCATTGTTGTCGATGTAGAAATACGGACCGCTCAGTGGGTCGACATTCAGCTTCTCCTCGCAGTCGCTATTACTCCAGCGCTGACTATCGTCGCCACCAGTATCCAGTGTCGATTTTATGAGGGCTCTTCGTTGCTATGCATATAAGACTCGCCACTGCTGAACAAACTCAGCGAGATCGCCACCAAAGAAATAATTCCGATCGCGAACTAACTTTCAGCGCCGCTTCGTAAAGGGAGTCTCACGCTGACAACTCTGGACCTAAGTCCTTGTCGCGACACCTGTCGCCATCGCTGTGTCTAAACTCAACCTCCCTGTGACGAGCTCTCACCTAGCGCTAAAATCAATTGACCAGAGACATTTGAAGACACTTGAAACTCCTTTGACAACAAAGACACCCAGTCGATCGAAAAGAATCTTCAAACGCCACCTCACTGCGCGTTCCAAACTTTGACGTCACATTTTGATGATTGATATCAAGTACACAAGTGCTGGTTTTTGCTGGCCGGGGCTCAAAAGTTTATAACTTTTTTCACTATTAACTTTGTTATCCATCCGAACACTTACCATGACAGTAGGGCACTGAAGTGAGATTTCCATCAGCCGTGCAATTTGGTGTGGCATCACCCACGATCCGCTGACCCTCTTGGCAAGAATAGGTAACATTGTGCGTGAATTGGACAACGGCTCTGTCAGCAGTGCCATTGTCAATGAGAGGTACGTTACAGTACAGCGCTGTGCACAGAATAACGAAAACAAAATTTAATGATACATTTACTGTTTTAGCATCAGTATCGTGTTGATTGAGAGCGATAAAAGCACAGTCTGAGTAAGAGTTCTCGGTGTCAAGTAAAAAGTAAATTCTCATGAAAAATAATAACAATGCGGGACTCAGAGAGGGTGAAGTGCAAGGAGTATAATGAAACGCCTGTTGTCCAACAGTCGGTGTCGTTCAGTTTATGATGGCACTTGTTTCACAGTGTTGTGCCGTGCTCGTAGGTTTAGTACACTTAAAGTATTGAAAGCTGTGTTCATTCGCAAATATTACCCCAAGCTATGCATCCAGAAAGAAGATGTCCGTATACACCACTACCTTCTTTACAACACCAGAGTGCAAAACGATGATTGGTGGCTGGCCTTCCAAATTGTGTTCAGGGACCTCTGTGGTGGCAGTTTGAGCGTTGTCCCAAAGCTTGCCATACTGATAGATGTACTGACCAATACCACTGACATCCACTCCCTTCCACACTTTCACTCAGACCATGATTTCAGCATAATTGTATTTCAATGATACGAGCGAATACTCGCGTTTTGTAGCACGTGAAGATGTTGCCCCAAAGCGTTCAGCCGGTTTGACTTTCTAGGGATCCCTTTTCTCAGCACAGGCTGCAGCCAGCTTGGCGTCGTCTGGCAAGGTAGAGTACTGATAATACTACGCTCTGTTTTGCGCCGTGAGAAGCCCTCCATCAGTGTCTGCAACATCATTGTTGTCGATGTAGAAATACGGACCGCTCAGTGGGTCGACATTCAGCTTCTCCTCGCAGTCGCTATTACTCCAGCGCTGACTATCGTCGCCACCAGTATCCAGTGTCGATTTTATGAGGGCTCTTCGTTGCTATGCATATAAGACTCGCCACTGCTGAACAAACTCAGCGAGATCGCCACCAAAGAAATAATTCCGATCGCGAACTAACTTTCAGCGCCGCTTCGTAAAGGGAGTCTCACGCTGACAACTCTGGACCTAAGTCCTTGTCGCGACACCTGTCGCCATCGCTGTGTCTAAACTCAACCTCCCTGTGACGAGCTCTCACCTAGCGCTAAAATCAATTGACCAGAGACATTTGAAGACACTTGAAACTCCTTTGACAACAAAGACACCCAGTCGATCGAAAAGAATCTTCAAACGCCACCTCACTGCGCGTCCCAAACTTTGACGTCACATTTTGATGATTGATATCAAGTACACAAGTGCTGGTTTTTGCTGGCCGGGGCTCAAAAGTTTATAACTTTTTTCACTATTAACTTTGTTATCCATCCGAACACTTACCATGACAGTAGGGCACTGAAGTGAGATTTCCATCAGCCGTGCAATTTGGTGTGGCATCACCCACGATCCGCTGACCCTCTTGGCAAGAATAGGTAACATTGTGCGTGAATTGGACAACGGCTCTGTCAGCAGTGCCATTGTCAATGAGAGGTACGTTACAGTACAGCGCTGTGCACAGAATAACGAAAACAAAATTTAATGATACATTTACTGTTTTAGCATCAGTATCGTGTTGATTGAGAGCGATAAAAGCACAGTCTGAGTAAGAGTTCTCGGTGTCAAGTAAAAAGTAAATTCTCATGAAAAATAATAACAATGCGGGACTCAGAGAGGGTGAAGTGCAAGGAGTATAATGAAACGCCTGTTGTCCAACAGTCGGTGTCGTTCAGTTTATGATGGCACTTGTTTCACAGTGTTGTGCCGTGCTCGTAGGTTTAGTACACTTAAAGTATTGAAAGCTGTGTTCATTCGCAAATATTACCCCAAGCTATGCATCCAGAAAGAAGATGTCCGTATACACCACTACCTTCTTTACAACACCAGAGTGCAAAACGATGATTGGTGGCTGGCCTTCCAAATTGTGTTCAGGGACCTCTGTGGTGGCAGTTTGAGCGTTGTCCCAAAGCTTGCCATACTGATAGATGTACTGACCAATACCACTGACATCCACTCCCTTCCACACTTTCACTCAGACCATGATTTCAGCATAATTGTATTTCAATGATACGAGCGAATACTCGCGTTTTGTAGCACGTGAAGATGTTGCCCCAAAGCGTTCAGCCGGTTTGACTTTCTAGGGATCCCTTTTCTCAGCACAGGCTGCAGCCAGCTTGGCGTCGTCTGGCAAGGTAGAGTACTGATAATACTACGCTCTGTTTTGCGCCGTGAGAAGCCCTCCATCAGTGTCTGCAACATCATTGTTGTCGATGTAGAAATACGGACCGCTCAGTGGGTCGACATTCAGCTTCTCCTCGCAGTCGCTATTACTCCAGCGCTGACTATCGTCGCCACCAGTATCCAGTGTCGATTTTATGAGGGCTCTTCGTTGCTATGCATATAAGACTCGCCACTGCTGAACAAACTCAGCGAGATCGCCACCAAAGAAATAATTCCGATCGCGAACTAACTTTCAGCGCCGCTTCGTAAAGGGAGTCTCACGCTGACAACTCTGGACCTAAGTCCTTGTCGCGACACCTGTCGCCATCGCTGTGTCTAAACTCAACCTCCCTGTGACGAGCTCTCACCTAGCGCTAAAATCAATTGACCAGAGACATTTGAAGACACTTGAAACTCCTTTGACAACAAAGACACCCAGTCGATCGAAAAGAATCTTCAAACGCCACCTCACTGCGCGTCCCAAACTTTGACGTCACATTTTGATGATTGATATCAAGTACACAAGTGCTGGTTTTTGCTGGCCGGGGCTCAAAAGTTTATAACTTTTTTCACTATTAACTTTGTTATCCATCCGAACACTTACCATGACAGTAGGGCACTGAAGTGAGATTTCCATCAGCCGTGCAATTTGGTGTGGCATCACCCACGATCCGCTGACCCTCTTGGCAAGAATAGGTAACATTGTGCGTGAATTGGACAACGGCTCTGTCAGCAGTGCCATTGTCAATGAGAGGTACGTTACAGTACAGCGCTGTGCACAGAATAACGAAAACAAAATTTAATGATACATTTACTGTTTTAGCATCAGTATCGTGTTGATTGAGAGCGATAAAAGCACAGTCTGAGTAAGAGTTCTCGGTGTCAAGTAAAAAGTAAATTCTCATGAAAAATAATAACAATGCGGGACTCAGAGAGGGTGAAGTGCAAGGAGTATAATGAAACGCCTGTTGTCCAACAGTCGGTGTCGTTCAGTTTATGATGGCACTTGTTTCACAGTGTTGTGCCGTGCTCGTAGGTTTAGTACACTTAAAGTATTGAAAGCTGTGTTCATTCGCAAATATTACCCCAAGCTATGCATCCAGAAAGAAGATGTCCGTATACACCACTACCTTCTTTACAACACCAGAGTGCAAAACGATGATTGGTGGCTGGCCTTCCAAATTGTGTTCAGGGACCTCTGTGGTGGCAGTTTGAGCGTTGTCCCAAAGCTTGCCATACTGATAGATGTACTGACCAATACCACTGACATCCACTCCCTTCCACACTTTCACTCAGACCATGATTTCAGCATAATTGTATTTCAATGATACGAGCGAATACTCGCGTTTTGTAGCACGTGAAGATGTTGCCCCAAAGCGTTCAGCCGGTTTGACTTTCTAGGGATCCCTTTTCTCAGCACAGGCTGCAGCCAGCTTGGCGTCGTCTGGCAAGGTAGAGTACTGATAATACTACGCTCTGTTTTGCGCCGTGAGAAGCCCTCCATCAGTGTCTGCAACATCATTGTTGTCGATGTAGAAATACGGACCGCTCAGTGGGTCGACATTCAGCTTCTCCTCGCAGTCGCTATTACTCCAGCGCTGACTATCGTCGCCACCAGTATCCAGTGTCGATTTTATGAGGGCTCTTCGTTGCTATGCATATAAGACTCGCCACTGCTGAACAAACTCAGCGAGATCGCCACCAAAGAAATAATTCCGATCGCGAACTAACTTTCAGCGCCGCTTCGTAAAGGGAGTCTCACGCTGACAACTCTGGACCTAAGTCCTTGTCGCGACACCTGTCGCCATCGCTGTGTCTAAACTCAACCTCCCTGTGACGAGCTCTCACCTAGCGCTAAAATCAATTGACCAGAGACATTTGAAGACACTTGAAACTCCTTTGACAACAAAGACACCCAGTCGATCGAAAAGAATCTTCAAACGCCACCTCACTGCGCGTCCCAAACTTTGACGTCACATTTTGATGATTGATATCAAGTACACAAGTGCTGGTTTTTGCTGGCCGGGGCTCAAAAGTTTAATGTTGGGTTAGCTTTTGGGCTAACCCTAGTTAGCGATAAGACCGATGCGCTGCTCTCTATCTCATGCTAGCTGCGACCGAGCTGGCTTTACACGTGCACTCAACTGCTGCGCATGCGCGCCCAAATCGCCTTGGGTAGCTCTTGCTGCGCTGACTTTGGCTTGCGCTTTCCTTTGCAGTGTCACTGAGCAGCAACCGGAATTTGTTTGTTGAGAATAGAATTAATTATTCAGACTCCTTGTAGATTCCTCGCAGCCGTTTACTGCACGACAAACATGTTGTCTACCTCTGAAGCACGCCGTATGAACGTGTCGGACTTGCGGGCCGAGCTGGAAGGCCGTGGGCTGAATTCGAGCGGAACAAAGCCCCAGCTTCTTGCCCGTTTGCTGCTCAGTATCCAGGACACGTCGAGCTCGGCGGCACGGGAACCTCGATCTCCGTCGGCCACGCCATCCTCGCGGCAGGAGCACGAGCAGGAGCAAGATCTGGAGAGTGCTGCAGCAGCTTCTCCGACTCCCCAGATCCCGGACCGGAGCAGTAATGACGATTTGCGCCAGTTTGTGCGGCAGGAAGTACATTCCGCCGTCACCGTTGCCTTGTCGGAGGCGATCGCTCCAATGCTGGCCACCATCACTGCCCCTGGATCCGCTGGGAATCAACCTTCGGCGGAGTCTTCCAACGCTGGTAATCTCTCCGTTCCCCAGACTATACGAGAGAAAATATTGAAGGGTGACTTTGTAGATTTCACCCAGCTGCTGCCCGATACTATCGCCACCTCGTATTCTGCCCCACGCCAGCTTCATCTGCAGTTCAGCAGTGGCGGCCAGTCTCTGGAGGTGGTGGAAGGTGGAGCGGCGCAGCCCGTTCGTCGACGCGTCCACGACTTGCCGACATGGCTGGAGGCATGGACTCTCTTCATGAACGTCGTGTGTTCTGCCAACCCGTCCCGCCTGCAGGAGATGCTCTCCTACCAAGCCACCATAGTTGCAGCCAACAGGCAATACTATCCGGAGGCTTGGCTGTCGTACGACACCCAGTTTCGCTCTGCCATTTCTGCTCAGCCAGGCAAGCGCTTTGACGTCATCGACATAAATCTGTGGCAAATGTCCGTGACTAGCCGATCAAGGCCCACATGTGAGTCCTGCCGCCTCATCCATCCCGGAGGCGGCCAGTGTCCCTTTCGTCCGCACCGTAACAACCAGCAAGCCTTCAATGGAGTCCGCACGGTGTCTAATGGCCAACCGATCTGCCGGAACTTCAACGCTGGGCGTTGCAGTCTCAGCACGTGCAAGTACGCCCATGTCTGCAACCGCTGCGGGTCCAAGGACCACAACGGATCTAAGTGCGGTAGGCGCCAGTAACTCTGCTGCTTTGGCTGCAGCTCCCGCGATTGTACATATTTCTCCCTGCACTTCACGTTCTACTGATTTCACAAGCGCATGTCCTGCTGTCCACACACCCCTCTCTGTTTCTCGCTTCGAATCACTGCTCCGTAACCACCCTGACAGTTCATTGGCTTCGTATGTTATTAACGGCCTCCGCTGCGGCTTTGACATTGGCTTTACCGGCAACCGCATAACTAACCAGCACTCGTCCAACCTCTCATCAGCATTCCAGCACTCTGCATTTGTGTCTGCACAGCTCACCGCTTCCTGCAACGCCGGCTACACGGCTGGCCCATTTGACTCGCCCCCATTCCCATTTATGTACTGCTCTGGCATTGGCGCTGTTCCGAAAAAGAATGGCAAGCTACGCTTGATACACCACCTGTCCAGCCCTGCCGGCTCCAGCGTTAACGACGGGATCCCTGCCGAGCCTTTCTCTTTGCAGTACATCAGCATTGATGAAGCCATTAACATCATTATGTCCTCCCCGTCTCCTGTCTATCTCTCTAAACTCGATGTGAAGAGTGCTTTTCGTCAAATACCTGTCCGCCCACAGGATTGGCATCTCCTCGGCATCCTGTGGCAGGGGAAGTACTACTACGACCGTGTCTTGCCATTTGGGCTCCGCTCTAGCCCGGCGGTATTTGATGCAGTGGCAGCCACCATCGAATGGATAATGCACCACGAATTCTCCATCCCTAATTTGCTGCATTTCCTGGACGACTACTTGTGCGTGAGCGTGGGCCAGGCAGTGGCGAATCGGCAGCTGGCCATTCTTCTCCGTGCATTCTCATACCTCGGAGTCCCGCTCGCGCCTGCAAAGGTGGAAGGCCCGTCTCGTACCTTGACATTCCTGGGCATTATCCTGGATTGTGAGAAGATGGAAGCCCGGCTCCCTGACGACAAATTGGCCGACATCAAGCGCCTGTTGACTGCAGCGAGCATCAACCCCACCATGTCTCAGCGCGAACTCGAATCTCTTCTGGGGAAACTCTCCTTCGCTGCAAGAGTCATCGTACCCGGCCGGACATTTATGCGGCGCCTGTGGTCTATTTGCAGTCGCTACCAGCAGCCTCACTACCGCATCAGTCTGACTACCGAGTGCCAGGAAGATATCCAATGGTGGCTACGGCTCCTGGAACAATGGAACGGAAAATCATTCTTCCTGTTCCCAGATTGGACACCATCTCCAGACTTGGAGCTGTTCACTGATGCCAGTGGCACCCTGGGCTGGGGCGCATTCAACAGCGGCCGCTGGCTTCAAGGGACCTGGTCGCCTGAGCAACTCACTCACAGCATTGAGTGGAAGGAGCTCTACGCGTTGGTCACAGCGTGCTGCACGTGGGCCAAGGAATGGCGCCAGCTTCGTATCACAATGCACTGCGACAACAAGGTTGTGGTAGATTGCATCCGCTCCGGCACATCCAAGTCACCGCCAGTGATGACCCTGATCAGGGAGCTGTTCTTTGTGTGCGCCCGCTTCAATTTCACCGTCACTGCTGCTCACATTGCTGGCCAGTCTAACTGCATTGCCGATTCGCTGTCTCGTTTCCGCATGGAAGAATTCCGACGTCTCGCCCCAGCTGCTCAAGCACAACCAGACCGAGTAGTGCTGCCATTCCAGTCGATGTAATATAGCCTTGACATACAGGTACCGATTGTCATTGCTAAATTGCCGTATTGAGAACCTGCGTTGGATTTCATCCATCTGCATGCCTACCTTTATCCATCTCGTGCCTTAATCACTTGTTCTTAGCTCTCGTGCATTGGTGGTGAACGCTTGCTGGGGTGCCGTGTGCTGGTTTTCTGGGAACAGCTTCCTTCAACTGGTTGCTTTGCTGCTACTATCTCTGCTTAAAATTGCATACTATTGGTCGGCTGTTTGCGACGCCAATCAGTAGTCATTGCACCCGGTCGCGGGTACTATTGCCGCTCAAGCATGAGCGATTGCTTTGGCCGTTTGCAACGCCAACTGCTTCACCCTGGTTGGCTGTTTGCAACGTCGATCAGGGAACTTTGCACCCGGTCGCGGGTACTGCTGCAGCTCAGTCGTGAGCGATCACTTTGGCTGTTTGCAACGCCAATCGCTTCACCAGTTGATCGAAACCAGCACACTGGTGTACCCCAATCATCCTTGTGCGGTGTTGTGAGAATGCGTGGGTATGCATGCAGCTTTGCTCTGTGACTTTCCATTGCATGTAGTCACTTGGCTCTCCCATTTCCTATACACTGCTCTGATGCATTCGGGTGCAAGCGCTAATAACTTTTTTCACTATTAACTTTGTTATCCATCCGAACACTTACCATGACAGTAGGGCACTGAAGTGAGATTTCCATCAGCCGTGCAATTTGGTGTGGCATCACCCACGATCCGCTGACCCTCTTGGCAAGAATAGGTAACATTGTGCGTGAATTGGACAACGGCTCTGTCAGCAGTGCCATTGTCAATGAGAGGTACGTTACAGTACAGCGCTGTGCACAGAATAACGAAAACAAAATTTAATGATACATTTACTGTTTTAGCATCAGTATCGTGTTGATTGAGAGCGATAAAAGCACAGTCTGAGTAAGAGTTCTCGGTGTCAAGTAAAAAGTAAATTCTCATGAAAAATAATAACAATGCGGGACTCAGAGAGGGTGAAGTGCAAGGAGTATAATGAAACGCCTGTTGTCCAACAGTCGGTGTCGTTCAGTTTATGATGGCACTTGTTTCACAGTGTTGTGCCGTGCTCGTAGGTTTAGTACACTTAAAGTATTGAAAGCTGTGTTCATTCGCAAATATTACCCCAAGCTATGCATCCAGAAAGAAGGTGTCCGTATACACCACTACCTTCTTTACAACACCAGAGTGCAAAACGATGATTGGTGGCTGGCCTTCCAAATTGTGTTCAGGGACCTCTGTGGTGGCAGTTTGAGCGTTGTCCCAAAGCTTGCCATACTGATCGATGTACTGACCAATACCACTGACATCCACTCCCTTCCACACTTTCACTCAGACCATGATTTCAGCATAATTGTATTTCAATGATACGAGCGAATACTCGCGTTTTGTAGCACGTGAAGATGTTGCCCCAAAGCGTTCAGCCGGTTTGACTTTCTAGGGATCCCTTTTCTCAGCACAGGCTGCAGCCAGCTTGGCGTCGTCTGGCAAGGTAGAGTACTGATAATACTATGCTCTGTTTTGCGCCGTGAGAAGCCCTCCATCAGTGTCTGCAACATCATTGTTGTCGATGTAGAAATACGGACCGCTCAGTGGGTCGACATTCAGCTTCTCCTCGCAGTCGCTATTACTCCAGCGCTGACTATCGTCGCCACCAGTATCCAGTGTCGATTTTATGAGGGCTCTTCGTTGCTATGCATATAAGACTCGCCACTGCTGAACAAACTCAGCGAGATCGCCACCAAAGAAATAATTCCGATCGCGAACTAACTTTCAGCGCCGCTTCGTAAAGGGAGTCTCACGCTGACAACTCTGGACCTAAGTCCTTGTCGCGACACCTGTCGCCATCGCTGTGTCTAAACTCAACCTCCCTGTGACGAGCTCTCACCTAGCGCTAAAATCAATTGACCAGAGACATTTGAAGACACTTGAAACTCCTTTGACAACAAAGACACCCAGTCGATCGAAAAGAATCTTCAAACGCCGCCTCACTGCGCGTCCCAAACTTTGACGTCACATTTTGATGATTGATATCAAGTACACAAGTGCTGGTTTTTGCTGGCCGGGGCTCAAAAGTTTATAACTTTTTTCACTATTAACTTTGTTATCCATCCGAACACTTACCATGACAGTAGGGCACTGAAGTGAGATTTCCATCAGCCGTGCAATTTGGTGTGGCATCACCCACGATCCGCTGACCCTCTTGGCAAGAATAGGTAACATTGTGCGTGAATTGGACAACGGCTCTGTCAGCAGTGCCATTGTCAATGAGAGGTACGTTACAGTACAGCGCTGTGCACAGAATAACGAAAACAAAATTTAATGATACATTTACTGTTTTAGCATCAGTATCGTGTTGATTGAGAGCGATAAAAGCACAGTCTGAGTAAGAGTTCTCGGTGTCAAGTAAAAAGTAAATTCTCATGAAAAATAATAACAATGCGGGACTCAGAGAGGGTGAAGTGCAAGGAGTATAATGAAACGCCTGTTGTCCAACAGTCGGTGTCGTTCAGTTTATGATGGCACTTGTTTCACAGTGTTGTGCCGTGCTCGTAGGTTTAGTTCACTTAAAGTATTGAAAGCTGTGTTCATTCGCAAATATTACCCCAAGCTATGCATCCAGAAAGAAGATGTCCGTATACACCACTACCTTCTTTACAACACCAGAGTGCAAAACGATGATTGGTGGCTGGCCTTCCAAATTGTGTTCAGGGACCTCTGTGGTGGCAGTTTGAGCGTTGTCCCAAAGCTTGCCATACTGATAGATGTACTGACCAATACCACTGACATCCACTCCCTTCCACACTTTCACTCAGACCATGATTTCAGCATAATTGTATTTCAATGATACGAGCGAATACTCGCGTTTTGTAGCACGTGAAGATGTTGCCCCAAAGCGTTCAGCCGGTTTGACTTTCTAGGGATTCCTTTTCTCAGCACAGGCTGCAGCCAGCTTGGCGTCGTCTGGCAAGGTAGAGTACTGATAATACTACGCTCTGTTTTGCGCCGTGAGAAGCCCTCCATCAGTGTCTGCAACATCATTGTTGTCGATGTAGAAATACGGACCGCTCAGTGGGTCGACATTCAGCTTCTCCTCGCAGTCGCTATTACTCCAGCGCTGACTATCGTCGCCACCAGTATCCAGTGTCGATTTTATGAGGGCTCTTCGTTGCTATGCATATAAGACTCGCCACTGCTGAACAAACTCAGCGAGATCGCCACCAAAGAAATAATTCCGATCGCGAACTAACTTTCAGCGCCGCTTCGTAAAGGGAGTCTCACGCTGACAACTCTGGACCTAAGTCCTTGTCGCGACACCTGTCGCCATCGCTGTGTCTAAACTCAACCTCCCTGTGACGAGCTCTCACCTAGCGCTAAAATCAATTGACCAGAGACATTTGAAGACACTTGAAACTCCTTTGACAACAAAGACACCCAGTCGATCGAAAAGAATCTTCAAACGCCACCTCACTGCGCGTCCCAAACTTTGACGTCACATTTTGATGATTGATATCAAGTACACAAGTGCTGGTTTTTGCTGGCCGGGGCTCAAAAGTTTATAACTTTTTTCACTATTAACTTTGTTATCCATCCGAACACTTACCATGACAGTAGGGCACTGAAGTGAGATTTCCATCAGCCGTGCAATTTGGTGTGGCATCACCCACGATCCGCTGACCCTCTTGGCAAGAATAGGTAACATTGTGCGTGAATTGGACAACGGCTCTGTCAGCAGTGCCATTGTCAATGAGAGGTACGTTACAGTACAGCGCTGTGCACAGAATAACGAAAACAAAATTTAATGATACATTTACTGTTTTAGCATCAGTATCGTGTTGATTGAGAGCGATAAAAGCACAGTCTGAGTAAGAGTTCTCGGTGTCAAGTAAAAAGTAAATTCTCATGAAAAATAATAACAATGCGGGACTCAGAGAGGGTGAAGTGCAAGGAGTATAATGAAACGCCTGTTGTCCAACAGTCGGTGTCGTTCAGTTTATGATGGCACTTGTTTCACAGTGTTGTGCCGTGCTCGTAGGTTTAGTACACTTAAAGTATTGAAAGCTGTGTTCATTCGCAAATATTACCCCAAGCTATGCATCCAGAAAGAAGATGTCCGTATACACCACTACCTTCTTTACAACACCAGAGTGCAAAACGATGATTGGTGGCTGGCCTTCCAAATTGTGTTCAGGGACCTCTGTGGTGGCAGTTTGAGCGTTGTCCCAAAGCTTGCCATACTGATAGATGTAATGACCAATACCACTGACATCCACTCCCTTCCACACTTTCACTCAGACCATGATTTCAGCATAATTGTATTTCAATGATACGAGCGAATACTCGCGTTTTGTAGCACGTGAAGATGTTGCCCCAAAGCGTTCAGCCGGTTTGACTTTCTAGGGATCCCTTTTCTCAGCACAGGCTGCAGCCAGCTTGGCGTCGTCTGGCAAGGTAGAGTACTGATAATACTACGCTCTGTTTTGCGCCGTGAGAAGCCCTCCATCAGTGTCTGCAACATCATTGTTGTCGATGTAGAAATACGGACCGCTCAGTGGGTCGACATTCAGCTTCTCCTCGCAGTCGCTATTACTCCAGCGCTGACTATCGTCGCCACCAGTATCCAGTGTCGATTTTATGAGGGCTCTTCGTTGCTATGCATATAAGACTCGCCACTGCTGAACAAACTCAGCGAGATCGCCACCAAAGAAATAATTCCGATCGCGAACTAACTTTCAGCGCCGCTTCATAAAGGGAGTCTCACGCTGACAACTCTGGACCTAAGTCCTTGTCGCGACACCTGTCGCCATCGCTGTGTCTAAACTCAACCTCCCTGTGACGAGCTCTCACCTAGCGCTAAAATCAATTGACCAGAGACATTTGAAGACACTTGAAACTCCTTTGACAACAAAGACACCCAGTCGATCGAAAAGAATCTTCAAACGCCACCTCACTGCGCGTCCCAAACTTTGACGTCACATTTTGATGATTGATATCAAGTACACAAGTGCTGGTTTTTGCTGGCCGGGGCTCAAAAGTTTATAACTTTTTTCACTATTAACTTTGTTATCCATCCGAACACTTACCATGACAGTAGGGCACTGAAGTGAGATTTCCATCAGCCGTGCAATTTGGTGTGGCATCACCCACGATCCGCTGACCCTCTTGGCAAGAATAGGTAACATTGTGCGTGAATTGGACAACGGCTCTGTCAGCAGTGCCATTGTCAATGAGAGGTACGTTACAGTACAGCGCTGTGCACAGAATAACGAAAACAAAATTTAATGATACATTTACTGTTTTAGCATCAGTATCGTGTTGATTGAGAGCGATAAAAGCACAGTCTGAGTAAGAGTTCTCGGTGGCAAGTAAAAAGTAAATTCTCATGAAAAATAATAACAATGCGGGACTCAGAGAGGGTGAAGTGCAAGGAGTATAATGAAACGCCTGTTGTCCAACAGTCGGTGTCGTTCAGTTTATGATGGCACTTGTTTCACAGTGTTGTGCCGTGCTCGTAGGTTTAGTACACTTAAAGTATTGAAAGCTGTGTTCATTCGCAAATATTACCCCAAGCTATGCATCCAGAAAGAAGATGTCCGTATACACCACTACCTTCTTTACAACACCAGAGTGCAAAACGATGATTGGTGGCTGGCCTTCCAAATTGTGTTCAGGGACCTCTGTGGTGGCAGTTTGAGCGTTGTCCCAAAGCTTGCCATACTGATAGATGTACTGACCAATACCACTGACATCCACTCCCTTCCACACTTTCACTCAGACCATGATTTCAGCATAATTGTATTTCAATGATACGAGCGAATACTCGCGTTTTGTAGCACGTGAAGATGTTGCCCCAAAGCGTTCAGCCGGTTTGACTTTCTAGGGATCCCTTTTCTCAGCACAGGCTGCAGCCAGCTTGGCGTCGTCTGGCAAGGTAGAGTACTGATAATACTACGCTCTGTTTTGCGCCGTGAGAAGCCCTCCATCAGTGTCTGCAACATCATTGTTGTCGATGTAGAAATACGGACCGCTCAGTGGGTCGACATTCAGCTTCTCCTCGCAGTCGCTATTACTCCAGCGCTGACTATCGTCGCCACCAGTATCCAGTGTCGATTTTATGAGGGCTCTTCGTTGCTATGCATATAAGACTCGCCACTGCTGAACAAACTCAGCGAGATCGCCACCAAAGAAATAATTCCGATCGCGAACTAACTTTCAGCGCCGCTTCGTAAAGGGAGTCCACGCTGACAACTCTGGACCTAAGTCCTTGTCGCGACACCTGTCGCCATCGCTGTGTCTAAACTCAACCTCCCTGTGACGAGCTCTCACCTAGCCGTAAAATCAATTGACCAGAGACATTTGAAGACACTTGAAACTCCTTTGACAACAAAGACACCCAGTCGATCGAAAAGAATCTTCAAACGCCGCCTCACTGCGCGTCCCAAACTTTGACGTCACATTTTGATGATTGATATCAAGTACACAAGTGCTGGTTTTTGCTGGCCGGGGCTCAAAAGTTTATAACTTTTTTCACTATTAACTTTGTTATCCATCCGAACACTTACCATGACAGTAGGGCACTGAAGTGAGATTTCCATCAGCCGTGCAATTTGGTGTGGCATCACCCACGATCCGCTGACCCTCTTGGCAAGAATAGGTAACATTGTGCGTGAATTGGACAACGGCTCTGTCAGCAGTGCCATTGTCAATGAGAGGTACGTTACAGTACAGCGCTGTGCACAGAATAACGAAAACAAAATTTAATGATACATTTACTGTTTTAGCATCAGTATCGTGTTGATTGAGAGCGATAAAAGCACAGTCTGAGTAAGAGTTCTCGGTGTCAAGTAAAAAGTAAATTCTCATGAAAAATAATAACAATGCGGGACTCAGAGAGGGTGAAGTGCAAGGAGTATAATGAAACGCCTGTTGTCCAACAGTCGGTGTCGTTCAGTTTATGATGGCACTTGTTTCACAGTGTTGTGCCGTGCTCGTAGGTTTAGTTCACTTAAAGTATTGAAAGCTGTGTTCATTCGCAAATATTACCCCAAGCTATGCATCCAGAAAGAAGATGTCCGTATACACCACTACCTTCTTTACAACACCAGAGTGCAAAACGATGATTGGTGGCTGGCCTTCCAAATTGTGTTCAGGGACCTCTGTGGTGGCAGTTTGAGCGTTGTCCCAAAGCTTGCCATACTGATAGATGTACTGACCAATACCACTGACATCCACTCCCTTCCACACTTTCACTCAGACCATGATTTCAGCATAATTGTATTTCAATGATACGAGCGAATACTCGCGTTTTGTAGCACGTGAAGATGTTGCCCCAAAGCGTTCAGCCGGTTTGACTTTCTAGGGATCCCTTTTCTCAGCACAGGCTGCAGCCAGCTTGGCGTCGTCTGGCAAGGTAGAGTACTGATAATACTACGCTCTGTTTTGCGCCGTGAGAAGCCCTCCATCAGTGTCTGCAACATCATTGTTGTCGATGTAGAAATACGGACCGCTCAGTGGGTCGACATTCAGCTTCTCCTCGCAGTCGCTATTACTCCAGCGCTGACTATCGTCGCCACCAGTATCCAGTGTCGATTTTATGAGGGCTCTTCGTTGCTATGCATATAAGACTCGCCACTGCTGAACAAACTCAGCGAGATCGCCACCAAAGAAATAATTCCGATCGCGAACTAACTTTCAGCGCCGCTTCGTAAAGGGAGTCTCACGCTGACAACTCTGGACCTAAATCCTTGTCGCGACACCTGTCGCCATCGCTGTGTCTAAACTCAACCTCCCTGTGACGAGCTCTCACCTAGCGCTAAAATCAATTGACCAGAGACATTTGAAGACACTTGAAACTCCTTTGACAACAAAGACACCCAGTCGATCGAAAAGAATCTTCAAACGCCGCCTCACTGCGCGTCCCAAACTTTGACGTCACATTTTGATGATTGATATCAAGTACACAAGTGCTGGTTTTTGCTGGCCGGGGCTCAAAAGTTTATAACTTTTTTCACTATTAACTTTGTTATCCATCCGAACACTTACCATGACAGTAGGGCACTGAAGTGAGATTTCCATCAGCCGTGCAATTTGGTGTGGCATCACCCACGATCCGCTGACCCTCTTGGCAAGAATAGGTAACATTGTGCGTGAATTGGACAACGGCTCTGTCAGCAGTGCCATTGTCAATGAGAGGTACGTTACAGTACAGCGCTGTGCACAGAATAACGAAAACAAAATTTAATGATACATTTACTGTTTTAGCATCAGTATCGTGTTGATTGAGAGCGATAAAAGCACAGTCTGAGTAAGAGTTCTCGGTGGCAAGTAAAAAGTAAATTCTCATGAAAAATAATAACAATGCGGGACTCAGAGAGGGTGAAGTGCAAGGAGTATAATGAAACGCCTGTTGTCCAACAGTCGGTGTCGTTCAGTTTATGATGGCACTTGTTTCACAGTGTTGTGCCGTGCTCGTAGGTTTAGTACACTTAAAGTATTGAAAGCTGTGTTCATTCGCAAATATTACCCCAAGCTATGCATCCAGAAAGAAGATGTCCGTATACACCACTACCTTCTTTACAACACCAGAGTGCAAAACGATGATTGGTGGCTGGCCTTCCAAATTGTGTTCAGGGACCTCTGTGGTGGCAGTTTGAGCGTTGTCCCAAAGCTTGCCATACTGATAGATGTACTGACCAATACCACTGACATCCACTCCCTTCCACACTTTCACTCAGACCATGATTTCAGCATAATTGTATTTCAATGATACGAGCGAATACTCGCGTTTTGTAGCACGTGAAGATGTTGCCCCAAAGCGTTCAGCCGGTTTGACTTTCTAGGGATCCCTTTTCTCAGCACAGGCTGCAGCCAGCTTGGCGTCGTCTGGCAAGGTAGAGTACTGATAATACTACGCTCTGTTTTGCGCCGTGAGAAGCCCTCCATCAGTGTCTGCAACATCATTGTTGTCGATGTAGAAATACGGACCGCTCAGTGGGTCGACATTCAGCTTCTCCTCGCAGTCGCTATTACTCCAGCGCTGACTATCGTCGCCACCAGTATCCAGTGTCGATTTTATGAGGGCTCTTCGTTGCTATGCATATAAGACTCGCCACTGCTGAACAAACTCAGCGAGATCGCCACCAAAGAAATAATTCCGATCGCGAACTAACTTTCAGCGCCGCTTCGTAAAGGGAGTCCACGCTGACAACTCTGGACCTAAGTCCTTGTCGCGACACCTGTCGCCATCGCTGTGTCTAAACTCAACCTCCCTGTGACGAGCTCTCACCTAGCGCTAAAATCAATTGACCAGAGACATTTGAAGACACTTGAAACTCCTTTGACAACAAAGACACCCAGTCGATCGAAAAGAATCTTCAAACGCCGCCTCACTGCGCGTCCCAAACTTTGACGTCACATTTTGATGATTGATATCAAGTACACAAGTGCTGGTTTTTGCTGGCCGGGGCTCAAAAGTTTATAACTTTTTTCACTATTAACTTTGTTATCCATCCGAACACTTACCATGACAGTAGGGCACTGAAGTGAGATTTCCATCAGCCGTGCAATTTGGTGTGGCATCACCCACGATCCGCTGACCCTCTTGGCAAGAATAGGTAACATTGTGCGTGAATTGGACAACGGCTCTGTCAGCAGTGCCATTGTCAATGAGAGGTACGTTACAGTACAGCGCTGTGCACAGAATAACGAAAACAAAATTTAATGATACATTTACTGTTTTAGCATCAGTATCGTGTTGATTGAGAGCGATAAAAGCACAGTCTGAGTAAGAGTTCTCGGTGTCAAGTAAAAAGTAAATTCTCATGAAAAATAATAACAATGCGGGACTCAGAGAGGGTGAAGTGCAAGGAGTATAATGAAACGCCTGTTGTCCAACAGTCGGTGTCGTTCAGTTTATGATGGCACTTGTTTCACAGTGTTGTGCCGTGCTCGTAGGTTTAGTACACTTAAAGTATTGAAAGCTGTGTTCATTCGCAAATATTACCCCAAGCTATGCATCCAGAAAGAAGATGTCCGTATACACCACTACCTTCTTTACAACACCAGAGTGCAAAACGATGATTGGTGGCTGGCCTTCCAAATTGTGTTCAGGGACCTCTGTGGTGGCAGTTTGAGCGTTGTCCCAAAGCTTGCCATACTGATAGATGTACTGACCAATACCACTGACATCCACTCCCTTCCACACTTTCACTCAGACCATGATTTCAGCATAATTGTATTTCAATGATACGAGCGAATACTCGCGTTTTGTAGCACGTGAAGATGTTGCCCCAAAGCGTTCAGCCGGTTTGACTTTCTAGGGATCCCTTTTCTCAGCACAGGCTGCAGCCAGCTTGGCGTCGTCTGGCAAGGTAGAGTACTGATAATACTACGCTCTGTTTTGCGCCGTGAGAAGCCCTCCATCAGTGTCTGCAACATCATTGTTGTCGATGTAGAAATACGGACCGCTCAGTGGGTCGACATTCAGCTTCTCCTCGCAGTCGCTATTACTCCAGCGCTGACTATCGTCGCCACCAGTATCCAGTGTCGATTTTATGAGGGCTCTTCGTTGCTATGCATACACGACTCGCCACTGCTGAACAAACTCAGCGAGATCGCCACCAAAGAAATAATTCCGATCGCGAACTAACTTTCAGCGCCGCTTCGTAAAGGGAGTCCACGCTGACAACTCTGGACCTAAGTCCTTGTCGCGACACCTGTCGCCATCGCTGTGTCTAAACTCAACCTCCCTGTGACGAGCTCTCACCTAGCGCTAAAATCAATTGACCAGAGACATTTGAAGACACTTGAAACTCCTTTGACAACAAAGACACCCAGTCGATCGAAAAGAATCTTCAAACGCCGCCTCACTGCGCGTCCCAAACTTTGACGTCACATTTTGATGATTGATATCAAGTACACAAGTGCTGGTTTTTGCTGGCCGGGGCTCAAAAGTTTATAACTTTTTTCACTATTAACTTTGTTATCCATCCGAACACTTACCATGACAGTAGGGCACTGAAGTGAGATTTCCATCAGCCGTGCAATTTGGTGTGGCATCACCCACGATCCGCTGACCCTCTTGGCAAGAATAGGTAACATTGTGCGTGAATTGGACAACGGCTCTGTCAGCAGTGCCATTGTCAATGAGAGGTACGTTACAGTACAGCGCTGTGCACAGAATAACGAAAACAAAATTTAATGATACATTTACTGTTTTAGCATCAGTATCGTGTTGATTGAGAGCGATAAAAGCACAGTCTGAGTAAGAGTTCTCGGTGTCAAGTAAAAAGTAAATTCTCATGAAAAATAATAACAATGCGGGACTCAGAGAGGGTGAAGTGCAAGGAGTATAATGAAACGCCTGTTGTCCAACAGTCGGTGTCGTTCAGTTTATGATGGCACTTGTTTCACAGTGTTGTGCCGTGCTCGTAGGTTTAGTACACTTAAAGTATTGAAAGCTGTGTTCATTCGCAAATATTACCCCAAGCTATGCATCCAGAAAGAAGATGTCCGTATACACCACTACCTTCTTTACAACACCAGAGTGCAAAACGATGATTGGTGGCTGGCCTTCCAAATTGTGTTCAGGGACCTCTGTGGTGGCAGTTTGAGCGTTGTCCCAAAGCTTGCCATACTGATAGATGTACTGACCAATACCACTGACATCCACTCCCTTCCACACTTTCACTCAGACCATGATTTCAGCATAATTGTATTTCAATGATACGAGCGAATACTCGCGTTTTGTAGCACGTGAAGATGTTGCCCCAAAGCGTTCAGCCGGTTTGACTTTCTAGGGATCCCTTTTCTCAGCACAGGCTGCAGCCAGCTTGGCGTCGTCTGGCAAGGTAGAGTACTGATAATACTACGCTCTGTTTTGCGCCGTGAGAAGCCCTCCATCAGTGTCTGCAACATCATTGTTGTCGATGTAGAAATACGGACCGCTCAGTGGGTCGACATTCAGCTTCTCCTCGCAGTCGCTATTACTCCAGCGCTGACTATCGTCGCCACCAGTATCCAGTGTCGATTTTATGAGGGCTCTTCGTTGCTATGCATATAAGACTCGCCACTGCTGAACAAACTCAGCGAGATCGCCACCAAAGAAATAATTCCGATCGCGAACTAACTGTCAGCGCCGCTTCGTAAAGGGAGTCTCACGCTGACAACTCTGGACCTAAGTCCTTGTCGCGACACCTGTCGCCATCGCTGTGTCTAAACTCAACCTCCCTGTGACGAGCTCTCACCTAGCGCTAAAATCAATTGACCAGAGACATTTGAAGACACTTGAAACTCCTTTGACAACAAAGACACCCAGTCGATCGAAAAGAATCTTCAAACGCCACCTCACTGCGCGTCCCAAACTTTGACGTCACATTTTGATGATTGATATCAAGTACACAAGTGCTAGTTTTTGCTGGCCGGGGCTCAAAAGTTTATAACTTTTTTCACTATTAACTTTGTTATCCATCCGAACACTTACCTAGACAGTAGGGCACTGAAGTGAGATTTCCATCAGCCGTGCAATTTGGTGTGGCATCACCCACGATCCGCTGACCCTCTTGGCAAGAATAGGTAACATTGTGCGTGAATTGGACAACGGCTCTGTCAGCAGTGCCATTGTCAATGAGAGGTACGTTACAGTACAGCGCTGTGCACAGAATAACGAAAACAAAATTTAATGATACATTTACTGTTTTAGCATCAGTATCGTGTTGATTGAGAGCGATAAAAGCACAGTCTGAGTAAGAGTTCTCGGTGGCAAGTAAAAAGTAAATTCTCATGAAAAATAATAACAATGCGGGACTCAGAGAGGGTGAAGTGCAAGGAGTATAATGAAACGCCTGTTGTCCAACAGTCGGTGTCGTTCAGTTTATGATGGCACTTGTTTCACAGTGTTGTGCCGTGCTCGTAGGTTTAGTACACTTAAAGTATTGAAAGCTGTGTTCATTCGCAAATATTACCCCACGCTATGCATCCAGAAAGAAGATGTCCGTATACACCACTACCTTCTTTACAACACCAGAGTGCAAAACGATGATTGGTGGCTGGCCTTCCAAATTGTGTTCAGGGACCTCTGTGGTGGCAGTTTGAGCGTTGTCCCAAAGCTTGCCATACTGATAGATGTACTGACCAATACCACTGACATCCACTCCCTTCCACACTTTCACTCAGACCATGATTTCAGCATAATTGTATTTCAATGATACGAGCGAATACTCGCGTTTTGTAGCACGTGAAGATGTTGCCCCAAAGCGTTCAGCCGGTTTGACTTTCTAGGGATCCCTTTTCTCAGCACAGGCTGCAGCCAGCTTGGCGTCGTCTGGCAAGGTAGAGTACTGATAATACTACGCTCTGTTTTGCGCCGTGAGAAGCCCTCCATCAGTGTCTGCAACATCATTGTTGTCGATGTAGAAATACGGACCGCTCAGTGGGTCGACATTCAGCTTCTCCTCGCAGTCGCTATTACTCCAGCGCTGACTATCGTCGCCACCAGTATCCAGTGTCGATTTTATGAGGGCTCTTCGTTGCTATGCATATAAGACTCGCCACTGCTGAACAAACTCAGCGAGATCGCCACCAAAAAAATAATTCCGATCGCGAACTAACTTTCAGCGCCGCTTCGTAAAGGGAGTCCACGCTGACAACTCTGGACCTAAGTCCTTGTCGCGACACCTGTCGCCATCGCTGTGTCTAAACTCAACCTCCCTGTGACGAGCTCTCACCTAGCCGTAAAATCAATTGACCAGAGACATTTGAAGACACTTGAAACTCCTTTGACAACAAAGACACCCAGTCGATCGAAAAGAATCTTCAAACGCCGCCTCACTGCGCGTCCCAAACTTTGACGTCACATTTTGATGATTGATATCAAGTACACAAGTGCTGGTTTTTGCTGGCCGGGGCTCAAAAGTTTATAACTTTTTTCACTATTAACTTTGTTATCCATCCGAACACTTACCATGACAGTAGGGCACTGAAGTGAGATTTCCATCAGCCGTGCAATTTGGTGTGGCATCACCCACGATCCGCTGACCCTCTTGGCAAGAATAGGTAACATTGTGCGTGAATTGGACAACGGCTCTGTCAGCAGTGCCATTGTCAATGAGAGGTACGTTACAGTACAGCGCTGTGCACAGAATAACGAAAACAAAATTTAATGATACATTTACTGTTTTAGCATCAGTATCGTGTTGATTGAGAGCGATAAAAGCACAGTCTGAGTAAGAGTTCTCGGTGTCAAGTAAAAAGTAAATTCTCATGAAAAATAATAACAATGCGGGACTCAGAGAGGGTGAAGTGCAAGGAGTATAATGAAACGCCTGTTGTCCAACAGTCGGTGTCGTTCAGTTTATGATGGCACTTGTTTCACAGTGTTGTGCCGTGCTCGTAGGTTTAGTACACTTAAAGTATTGAAAGCTGTGTTCATTCGCAAATATTACCCCAAGCTATGCATCCAGAAAGAAGATGTCCGTATACACCACTACCTTCTTTACAACACCAGAGTGCAAAACGATGATTGGTGGCTGGCCTTCCAAATTGTGTTCAGGGACCTCTGTGGTGGCAGTTTGAGCGTTGTCCCAAAGCTTGCCATACTGATAGATGTACTGACCAATACCACTGACATCCACTCCCTTCCACACTTTCACTCAGACCATGATTTCAGCATAATTGTATTTCAATGATACGAGCGAATACTCGCGTTTTGTAGCACGTGAAGATGTTGCCCCAAAGCGTTCAGCCGGTTTGACTTTCTAGGGATCCCTTTTCTCAGCACAGGCTGCAGCCAGCTTGGCGTCGTCTGGCAAGGTAGAGTACTGATAATACTACGCTCTGTTTTGCGCCGTGAGAAGCCCTCCATCAGTGTCTGCAACATCATTGTTGTCGATGTAGAAATACGGACCGCTCAGTGGGTCGACATTCAGCTTCTCCTCGCAGTCGCTATTACTCCAGCGCTGACTATCGTCGCCACCAGTATCCAGTGTCGATTTTATGAGGGCTCTTCGTTGCTATGCATATAAGACTCGCCACTGCTGAACAAACTCAGCGAGATCGCCACCAAAGAAATAATTCCGATCGCGAACTAACTTTCAGCGCCGCTTCGTAAAGGGAGTCCACGCTGACAACTCTGGACCTAAATCCTTGTCGCGACACCTGTCGCCATCGCTGTGTCTAAACTCAACCTCCCTGTGACGAGCTCTCACCTAGCCGTAAAATCAATTGACCAGAGACATTTGAAGACACTTGAAACTCCTTTGACAACAAAGACACCCAGTCGATCGAAAAGAATCTTCAAACGCCGCCTCACTGCGCGTCCCAAACTTTGACGTCACATTTTGATGATTGATATCAAGTACACAAGTGCTGGTTTTTGCTGGCCGGGGCTCAAAAGTTTATAACTTTTTTCACTATTAACTTTGTTATCCATCCGAACACTTACCATGACAGTAGGGCACTGAAGTGAGATTTCCATCAGCCGTGCAATTTGGTGTGGCATCACCCACGATCCGCTGACCCTCTTGGCAAGAATAGGTAACATTGTGCGTGAATTGGACAACGGCTCTGTCAGCAGTGCCATTGTCAATGAGAGGTACGTTACAGTACAGCGCTGTGCACAGAATAACGAAAACAAAATTTAATGATACATTTACTGTTTTAGCATCAGTATCGTGTTGATTGAGAGCGATAAAAGCACAGTCTGAGTAAGAGTTCTCGGTGTCAAGTAAAAAGTAAATTCTCATGAAAAATAATAACAATGCGGGACTCAGAGAGGGTGAAGTGCAAGGAGTATAATGAAACGCCTGTTGTCCAACAGTCGGTGTCGTTCAGTTTATGATGGCACTTGTTTCACAGTGTTGTGCCGTGCTCGTAGGTTTAGTACACTTAAAGTATTGAAAGCTGTGTTCATTCGCAAATATTACCCCAAGCTATGCATCCAGAAAGAAGATGTCCGTATACACCACTACCTTCTTTACAACACCAGAGTGCAAAACGATGATTGGTGGCTGGCCTTCCAAATTGTGTTCAGGGACCTCTGTGGTGGCAGTTTGAGCGTTGTCCCAAAGCTTGCCATACTGATAGATGTACTGACCAATACCACTGACATCCACTCCCTTCCACACTTTCACTCAGACCATGATTTCAGCATAATTGTATTTCAATGATACGAGCGAATACTCGCGTTTTGTAGCACGTGAAGATGTTGCCCCAAAGCGTTCAGCCGGTTTGACTTTCTAGGGATCCCTTTTCTCAGCACAGGCTGCAGCCAGCTTGGCGTCGTCTGGCAAGGTAGAGTACTGATAATACTACGCTCTGTTTTGCGCCGTGAGAAGCCCTCCATCAGTGTCTGCAACATCATTGTTGTCGATGTAGAAATACGGACCGCTCAGTGGGTCGACATTCAGCTTCTCCTCGCAGTCGCTATTACTCCAGCGCTGACTATCGTCGCCACCAGTATCCAGTGTCGATTTTATGAGGGCTCTTCGTTGCTATGCATATAAGACTCGCCACTGCTGAACAAACTCAGCGAGATCGCCACCAAAGAAATAATTCCGATCGCGAACTAACTTTCAGCGCCGCTTCGTAAAGGGAGTCCACGCTGACAACTCTGGACCTAAATCCTTGTCGCGACACCTGTCGCCATCGCTGTGTCTAAACTCAACCTCCCTGTGACGAGCTCTCACCTAGCCGTAAAATCAATTGACCAGAGACATTTGAAGACACTTGAAACTCCTTTGACAACAAAGACACCCAGTCGATCGAAAAGAATCTTCAAACGCCGCCTCACTGCGCGTCCCAAACTTTGACGTCACATTTTGATGATTGATATCAAGTACACAAGTGCTGGTTTTTGCTGGCCGGGGCTCAAAAGTTTATAACTTTTTTCACTATTAACTTTGTTATCCATCCGAACACTTACCATGACAGTAGGGCACTGAAGTGAGATTTCCATCAGCCGTGCAATTTGGTGTGGCATCACCCACGATCCGCTGACCCTCTTGGCAAGAATAGGTAACATTGTGCGTGAATTGGACAACGGCTCTGTCAGCAGTGCCATTGTCAATGAGAGGTACGTTACAGTACAGCGCTGTGCACAGAATAACGAAAACAAAATTTAATGATACATTTACTGTTTTAGCATCAGTATCGTGTTGATTGAGAGCGATAAAAGCACAGTCTGAGTAAGAGTTCTCGGTGTCAAGTAAAAAGTAAATTCTCATGAAAAATAATAACAATGCGGGACTCAGAGAGGGTGAAGTGCAAGGAGTATAATGAAACGCCTGTTGTCCAACAGTCGGTGTCGTTCAGTTTATGATGGCACTTGTTTCACAGTGTTGTGCCGTGCTCGTAGGTTTAGTACACTTAAAGTATTGAAAGCTGTGTTCATTCGCAAATATTACCCCAAGCTATGCATCCAGAAAGAAGATGTCCGTATACACCACTACCTTCTTTACAACACCAGAGTGCAAAACGATGATTGGTGGCTGGCCTTCCAAATTGTGTTCAGGGACCTCTGTGGTGGCAGTTTGAGCGTTGTCCCAAAGCTTGCCATACTGATAGATGTACTGACCAATACCACTGACATCCACTCCCTTCCACACTTTCACTCAGACCATGATTTCAGCATAATTGTATTTCAATGATACGAGCGAATACTCGCGTTTTGTAGCACGTGAAGATGTTGCCCCAAAGCGTTCAGCCGGTTTGACTTTCTAGGGATCCCTTTTCTCAGCACAGGCTGCAGCCAGCTTGGCGTCGTCTGGCAAGGTAGAGTACTGATAATACTACGCTCTGTTTTGCGCCGTGAGAAGCCCTCCATCAGTGTCTGCAACATCATTGTTGTCGATGTAGAAATACGGACCGCTCAGTGGGTCGACATTCAGCTTCTCCTCGCAGTCGCTATTACTCCAGCGCTGACTATCGTCGCCACCAGTATCCAGTGTCGATTTTATGAGGGCTCTTCGTTGCTATGCATATAAGACTCGCCACTGCTGAACAAACTCAGCGAGATCGCCACCAAAGAAATAATTCCGATCGCGAACTAACTTTCAGCGCCGCTTCGTAAAGGGAGTCTCACGCTGACAACTCTGGACCTAAATCCTTGTCGCGACACCTGTCGCCATCGCTGTGTCTAAACTCAACCTCCCTGTGACGAGCTCTCACCTAGCGCTAAAATCAATTGACCAGAGACATTTGAAGACACTTGAAACTCCTTTGACAACAAAGACACCCAGTCGATCGAAAAGAATCTTCAAACGCCGCCTCACTGCGCGTCCCAAACTTTGACGTCACATTTTGATGATTGATATCAAGTACACAAGTGCTGGTTTTTGCTGGCCGGGGCTCAAAAGTTTATAACTTTTTTCACTATTAACTTTGTTATCCATCCGAACACTTACCATGACAGTAGGGCACTGAAGTGAGATTTCCATCAGCCGTGCAATTTGGTGTGGCATCACCCACGATCCGCTGACCCTCTTGGCAAGAATAGGTAACATTGTGCGTGAATTGGACAACGGCTCTGTCAGCAGTGCCATTGTCAATGAGAGGTACGTTACAGTACAGCGCTGTGCACAGAATAACGAAAACAAAATTTAATGATACATTTACTGTTTTAGCATCAGTATCGTGTTGATTGAGAGCGATAAAAGCACAGTCTGAGTAAGAGTTCTCGGTGTCAAGTAAAAAGTAAATTCTCATGAAAAATAATAACAATGCGGGACTCAGAGAGGGTGAAGTGCAAGGAGTATAATGAAACGCCTGTTGTCCAACAGTCGGTGTCGTTCAGTTTATGATGGCACTTGTTTCACAGTGTTGTGCCGTGCTCGTAGGTTTAGTACACTTAAAGTATTGAAAGCTGTGTTCATTCGCAAATATTACCCCAAGCTATGCATGCAGAAAGAAGATGTCCGTATACACCACTACCTTCTTTACAACACCAGAGTGCAAAACGATGATTGGTGGCTGGCCTTCCAAATTGTGTTCAGGGACCTCTGTGGTGGCAGTTTGAGCGTTGTCCCAAAGCTTGCCATACTGATAGATGTACTGACCAATACCACTGACATCCACTCCCTTCCACACTTTCACTCAGACCATGATTTCAGCATAATTGTATTTCAATGATACGAGCGAATACTCGCGTTTTGTAGCACGTGAAGATGTTGCCCCAAAGCGTTCAGCCGGTTTGACTTTCTAGGGATCCCTTTTCTCAGCACAGGCTGCAGCCAGCTTGGCGTCGTCTGGCAAGGTAGAGTACTGATAATACTACGCTCTGTTTTGCGCCGTGAGAAGCCCTCCATCAGTGTCTGCAACATCATTGTTGTCGATGTAGAAATACGGACCGCTCAGTGGGTCGACATTCAGCTTCTCCTCGCAGTCGCTATTACTCCAGCGCTGACTATCGTCGCCACCAGTATCCAGTGTCGATTTTATGAGGGCTCTTCGTTGCTATGCATATAAGACTCGCCACTGCTGAACAAACTCAGCGAGATCGCCACCAAAGAAATAATTCCGATCGCGAACTAACTTTCAGCGCCGCTTCGTAAAGGGAGTCCACGCTGACAACTCTGGACCTAAGTCCTTGTCGCGACACCTGTCGCCATCGCTGTGTCTAAACTCAACCTCCCTGTGACGAGCTCTCACCTAGCGCTAAAATCAATTGACCAGAGACATTTGAAGACACTTGAAACTCCTTTGACAACAAAGACACCCAATCGATCGAAAAGAATCTTCAAACGCCGCCTCACTGCGCGTCCCAAACTTTGACGTCACATTTTGATGATTGATATCAAGTACACAAGTGCTGGTTTTTGCTGGCCGGGGCTCAAAAGTTTATAACTTTTTTCACTATTAACTTTGTTATCCATCCGAACACTTACCATGACAGTAGGGCACTGAAGTGAGATTTCCATCAGCCGTGCAATTTGGTGTGGCATCACCCACGATCCGCTGACCCTCTTGGCAAGAATAGGTAACATTGTGCGTGAATTGGACAACGGCTCTGTCAGCAGTGCCATTGTCAATGAGAGGTACGTTACAGTACAGCGCTGTGCACAGAATAACGAAAACAAAATTTAATGATACATTTACTGTTTTAGCATCAGTATCGTGTTGATTGAGAGCGATAAAAGCACAGTCTGAGTAAGAGTTCTCGGTGTCAAGTAAAAAGTAAATTCTCATGAAAAATAATAACAATGCGGGACTCAGAGAGGGTGAAGTGCAAGGAGTATAATGAAACGCCTGTTGTCCAACAGTCGGTGTCGTTCAGTTTATGATGGCACTTGTTTCACAGTGTTGTGCCGTGCTCGTAGGTTTAGTACACTTAAAGTATTGAAAGCTGTGTTCATTCGCAAATATTACCCCAAGCTATGCATCCAGAAAGAAGATGTCCGTATACACCACTACCTTCTTTACAACACCAGAGTGCAAAACGATGATTGGTGGCTGGCCTTCCAAATTGTGTTCAGGGACCTCTGTGGTGGCAGTTTGAGCGTTGTCCCAAAGCTTGCCATACTGATAGATGTACTGACCAATACCACTGACATCCACTCCCTTCCACACTTTCACTCAGACCATGATTTCAGCATAATTGTATTTCAATGATACGAGCGAATACTCGCGTTTTGTAGCACGTGAAGATGTTGCCCCAAAGCGTTCAGCCGGTTTGACTTTCTAGGGATCCCTTTTCTCAGCACAGGCTGCAGCCAGCTTGGCGTCGTCTGGCAAGGTAGAGTACTGATAATACTACGCTCTGTTTTGCGCCGTGAGAAGCCCTCCATCAGTGTCTGCAACATCATTGTTGTCGATGTAGAAATACGGACCGCTCAGTGGGTCGACATTCAGCTTCTCCTCGCAGTCGCTATTACTCCAGCGCTGACTATCGTCGCCACCAGTATCCAGTGTCGATTTTATGAGGGCTCTTCGTTGCTATGCATATAAGACTCGCCACTGCTGAACAAACTCAGCGAGATCGCCACCAAAGAAATAATTCCGATCGCGAACTAACTGTCAGCGCCGCTTCGTAAAGGGAGTCTCACGCTGACAACTCTGGACCTAAGTCCTTGTCGCGACACCTGTCGCCATCGCTGTGTCTAAACTCAACCTCCCTGTGACGAGCTCTCACCTAGCGCTAAAATCAATTGACCAGAGACATTTGAAGACACTTGAAACTCCTTTGACAACAAAGACACCCAGTCGATCGAAAAGAATCTTCAAACGCCACCTCACTGCGCGTCCCAAACTTTGACGTCACATTTTGATGATTGATATCAAGTACACAAGTGCTAGTTTTTGCTGGCCGGGGCTCAAAAGTTTATAAATTTTTTCACTATTAACTTTGTTATCCATCCGAACACTTACCTAGACAGTAGGGCACTGAAGTGAGATTTCCATCAGCCGTGCAATTTGGTGTGGCATCACCCACGATCCGCTGACCCTCTTGGCAAGAATAGGTAACATTGTGCGTGAATTGGACAACGGCTCTGTCAGCAGTGCCATTGTCAATGAGAGGTACGTTACAGTACAGCGCTGTGCACAGAATAACGAAAACAAAATTTAATGATACATTTACTGTTTTAGCATCAGTATCGTGTTGATTGAGAGCGATAAAAGCACAGTCTGAGTAAGAGTTCTCGGTGTCAAGTAAAAAGTAAATTCTCATGAAAAATAATAACAATGCGGGACTCAGAGAGGGTGAAGTGCAAGGAGTATAATGAAACGCCTGTTGTCCAACAGTCGGTGTCGTTCAGTTTATGATGGCACTTGTTTCACAGTGTTGTGCCGTGCTCGTAGGTTTAGTACACTTAAAGTATTGAAAGCTGTGTTCATTCGCAAATATTACCCCAAGCTATGCATCCAGAAAGAAGATGTCCGTATACACCACTACCTTCTTTACAACACCAGAGTGCAAAACGATGATTGGTGGCTGGCCTTCCAAATTGTGTTCAGGGACCTCTGTGGTGGCAGTTTGAGCGTTGTCCCAAAGCTTGCCATACTGATAGATGTACTGACCAATACCACTGACATCCACTCCCTTCCACACTTTCACTCAGACCATGATTTCAGCATAATTGTATTTCAATGATACGAGCGAATACTCGCGTTTTGTAGCACGTGAAGATGTTGCCCCAAAGCGTTCAGCCGGTTTGACTTTCTAGGGATCCCTTTTCTCAGCACAGGCTGCAGCCAGCTTGGCGTCGTCTGGCAAGGTAGAGTACTGATAATACTACGCTCTGTTTTGCGCCGTGAGAAGCCCTCCATCAGTGTCTGCAACATCATTGTTGTCGATGTAGAAATACGGACCGCTCAGTGGGTCGACATTCAGCTTCTCCTCGCAGTCGCTATTACTCCAGCGCTGACTATCGTCGCCACCAGTATCCAGTGTCGATTTTATGAGGGCTCTTCGTTGCTATGCATATAAGACTCGCCACTGCTGAACAAACTCAGCGAGATCGCCACCAAAGAAATAATTCCGATCGCGAACTAACTTTCAGCGCCGCTTCGTAAAGGGAGTCTCACGCTGACAACTCTGGACCTAAGTCCTTGTCGCGACACCTGTCGCCATCGCTGTGTCTAAACTCAACCTCCCTGTGACGAGCTCTCACCTAGCGCTAAAATCAATTGACCAGAGACATTTGAAGACACTTGAAACTCCTTTGACAACAAAGACACCCAGTCGATCGAAAAGAATCTTCAAACGCCACCTCACTGCGCGTCCCAAACTTTGACGTCACATTTTGATGATTGATATCAAGTACACAAGTGCTGGTTTTTGCTGGCCGGGGCTCAAAAGTTTATAACTTTTTTCACTATTAACTTTGTTATCCATCCGAACACTTACCATGACAGTAGGGCACTGAAGTGAGATTTCCATCAGCCGTGCAATTTGGTGTGGCATCACCCACGATCCGCTGACCCTCTTGGCAAGAATAGGTAACATTGTGCGTGAATTGGACAACGGCTCTGTCAGCAGTGCCATTGTCAATGAGAGGTACGTTACAGTACAGCGCTGTGCACAGAATAACGAAAACAAAATTTAATGATACATTTACTGTTTTAGCATCAGTATCGTGTTGATTGAGAGCGATAAAAGCACAGTCTGAGTAAGAGTTCTCGGTGGCAAGTAAAAAGTAAATTCTCATGAAAAATAATAACAATGCGGGACTCAGAGAGGGTGAAGTGCAAGGAGTATAATGAAACGCCTGTTGTCCAACAGTCGGTGTCGTTCAGTTTATGATGGCACTTGTTTCACAGTGTTGTGCCGTGCTCGTAGGTTTAGTACACTTAAAGTATTGAAAGCTGTGTTCATTCGCAAATATTACCCCAAGCTATGCATCCAGAAAGAAGATGTCCGTATACACCACTACCTTCTTTACAACACCAGAGTGCAAAACGATGATTGGTGGCTGGCCTTCCAAATTGTGTTCAGGGACCTCTGTGGTGGCAGTTTGAGCGTTGTCCCAAAGCTTGCCATACTGATAGATGTACTGACCAATACCACTGACATCCACTCCCTTCCACACTTTCACTCAGACCATGATTTCAGCATAATTGTATTTCAATGATACGAGCGAATACTCGCGTTTTGTAGCACGTGAAGATGTTGCCCCAAAGCGTTCAGCCGGTTTGACTTTCTAGGGATCCCTTTTCTCAGCACAGGCTGCAGCCAGCTTGGCGTCGTCTGGCAAGGTAGAGTACTGATAATACTACGCTCTGTTTTGCGCCGTGAGAAGCCCTCCATCAGTGTCTGCAACATCATTGTTGTCGATGTAGAAATACGGACCGCTCAGTGGGTCGACATTCAGCTTCTCCTCGCAGTCGCTATTACTCCAGCGCTGACTATCGTCGCCACCAGTATCCAGTGTCGATTTTATGAGGGCTCTTCGTTGCTATGCATATAAGACTCGCCACTGCTGAACAAACTCAGCGAGATCGCCACCAAAGAAATAATTCCGATCGCGAACTAACTTTCAGCGCCGCTTCGTAAAGGGAGTCCACGCTGACAACTCTGGACCTAAGTCCTTGTCGCGACACCTGTCGCCATCGCTGTGTCTAAACTCAACCTCCCTGTGACGAGCTCTCACCTAGCCGTAAAATCAATTGACCAGAGACATTTGAAGACACTTGAAACTCCTTTGACAACAAAGACACCCAGTCGATCGAAAAGAATCTTCAAACGCCGCCTCACTGCGCGTCCCAAACTTTGACGTCACATTTTGATGATTGATATCAAGTACACAAGTGCTGGTTTTTGCTGGCCGGGGCTCAAAAGTTTATAACTTTTTTCACTATGAACTTTGTTATCCATCCGAACACTTACCATGACAGTAGGGCACTGAAGTGAGATTTCCATCAGCCGTGCAATTTGGTGTGGCATCACCCACGATCCGCTGACCCTCTTGGCAAGAATAGGTAACATTGTGCGTGAATTGGACAACGGCTCTGTCAGCAGTGCCATTGTCAATGAGAGGTACGTTACAGTACAGCGCTGTGCACAGAATAACGAAAACAAAATTTAATGATACATTTACTGTTTTAGCATCAGTATCGTGTTGATTGAGAGCGATAAAAGCACAGTCTGAGTAAGAGTTCTCGGTGTCAAGTAAAAAGTAAATTCTCATGAAAAATAATAACAATGCGGGACTCAGAGAGGGTGAAGTGCAAGGAGTATAATGAAACGCCTGTTGTCCAACAGTCGGTGTCGTTCAGTTTATGATGGCACTTGTTTCACAGTGTTGTGCCGTGCTCGTAGGTTTAGTACACTTAAAGTATTGAAAGCTGTGTTCATTCGCAAATATTACCCCAAGCTATGCATCCAGAAAGAAGATGTCCGTATACACCACTACCTTCTTTACAACACCAGAGTGCAAAACGATGATTGGTGGCTGGCCTTCCAAATTGTGTTCAGGGACCTCTGTGGTGGCAGTTTGAGCGTTGTCCCAAAGCTTGCCATACTGATAGATGTACTGACCAATACCACTGACATCCACTCCCTTCCACACTTTCACTCAGACCATGATTTCAGCATAATTGTATTTCAATGATACGAGCGAATACTCGCGTTTTGTAGCACGTGAAGATGTTGCCCCAAAGCGTTCAGCCGGTTTGACTTTCTAGGGATCCCTTTTCTCAGCACAGGCTGCAGCCAGCTTGGCGTCGTCTGGCAAGGTAGAGTACTGATAATACTACGCTCTGTTTTGCGCCGTGAGAAGCCCTCCATCAGTGTCTGCAACATCATTGTTGTCGATGTAAAAATACGGACCGCTCAGTGGGTCGACATTCAGCTTCTCCTCGCAGTCGCTATTACTCCAGCGCTGACTATCGTCGCCACCAGTATCCAGTGTCGATTTTATGAGGGCTCTTCGTTGCTATGCATATAAGACTCGCCACTGCTGAACAAACTCAGCGAGATCGCCACCAAAGAAATAATTCCGATCGCGAACTAACTTTCAGCGCCGCTTCGTAAAGGGAGTCTCACGCTGACAACTCTGGACCTAAGTCCTTGTCGCGACACCTGTCGCCATCGCTGTGTCTAAACTCAACCTCCCTGTGACGAGCTCTCACCTAGCGCTAAAATCAATTGACCAGAGACATTTGAAGACACTTGAAACTCCTTTGACAACAAAGACACCCAGTCGATCGAAAAGAATCTTCAAACGCCACCTCACTGCGCGTCCCAAACTTTGACGTCACATTTTGATGATTGATATCAAGTACACAAGTGCTAGTTTTTGCTGGCCGGGGCTCAAAAGTTTATAACTTTTTTCACTATTAACTTTGTTATCCATCCGAACACTTACCTAGACAGTAGGGCACTGAAGTGAGATTTCCATCAGCCGTGCAATTTGGTGTGGCATCACCCACGATCCGCTGACCCTCTTGGCAAGAATAGGTAACATTGTGCGTGAATTGGACAACGGCTCTGTCAGCAGTGCCATTGTCAATGAGAGGTACGTTACAGTACAGCGCTGTGCACAGAATAACGAAAACAAAATTTAATGATACATTTACTGTTTTAGCATCAGTATCGTGTTGATTGAGAGCGATAAAAGCACAGTCTGAGTAAGAGTTCTCGGTGTCAAGTAAAAAGTAAATTCTCATGAAAAATAATAACAATGCGGGACTCAGAGAGGGTGAAGTGCAAGGAGTATAATGAAACGCCTGTTGTCCAACAGTCGGTGTCGTTCAGTTTATGATGGCACTTGTTTCACAGTGTTGTGCCGTGCTCGTAGGTTTAGTACACTTAAAGTATTGAAAGCTGTGTTCATTCGCAAATATTACCCCAAGCTATGCATCCAGAAAGAAGATGTCCGTATACACCACTACCTTCTTTACAACACCAGAGTGCAAAACGATGATTGGTGGCTGGCCTTCCAAATTGTGTTCAGGGACCTCTGTGGTGGCAGTTTGAGCGTTGTCCCAAAGCTTGCCATACTGATAGATGTACTGACCAATACCACTGACATCCACTCCCTTCCACACTTTCACTCAGACCATGATTTCAGCATAATTGTATTTCAATGATACGAGCGAATACTCGCGTTTTGTAGCACGTGAAGATGTTGCCCCAAAGCGTTCAGCCGGTTTGACTTTCTAGGGATCCCTTTTCTCAGCACAGGCTGCAGCCAGCTTGGCGTCGTCTGGCAAGGTAGAGTACTGATAATACTACGCTCTGTTTTGCGCCGTGAGAAGCCCTCCATCAGTGTCTGCAACATCATTGTTGTCGATGTAGAAATACGGACCGCTCAGTGGGTCGACATTCAGCTTCTCCTCGCAGTCGCTATTACTCCAGCGCTGACTATCGTCGCCACCAGTATCCAGTGTCGATTTTATGAGGGCTCTTCGTTGCTATGCATATAAGACTCGCCACTGCTGAACAAACTCAGCGAGATCGCCACCAAAGAAATAATTCCGATCGCGAACTAACTTTCAGCGCCGCTTCGTAAAGGGAGTCTCACGCTGACAACTCTGGACCTAAGTCCTTGTCGCGACACCTGTCGCCATCGCTGTGTCTAAACTCAACCTCCCTGTGACGAGCTCTCACCTAGCGCTAAAATCAATTGACCAGAGACATTTGAAGACACTTGAAACTCCTTTGACAACAAAGACACCCAGTCGATCGAAAAGAATCTTCAAACGCCGCCTCACTGCGCGTCCCAAACTTTGACGTCACATTTTGATGATTGATATCAAGTACACAAGTGCTGGTTTTTGCTGGCCGGGGCTCAAAAGTTTATAACTTTTTTCACTATTAACTTTGTTATCCATCCGAACACTTACCATGACAGTAGGGCACTGAAGTGAGATTTCCATCAGCCGTGCAATTTGGTGTGGCATCACCCACGATCCGCTGACCCTCTTGGCAAGAATAGGTAACATTGTGCGTGAATTGGACAACGGCTCTGTCAGCAGTGCCATTGTCAATGAGAGGTACGTTACAGTACAGCGCTGTGCACAGAATAACGAAAACAAAATTTAATGATACATTTACTGTTTTAGCATCAGTATCGTGTTGATTGAGAGCGCTAAAAGCACAGTCTGAGTAAGAGTTCTCGGTGTCAAGTAAAAAGTAAATTCTCATGAAAAATAATAACAATGCGGGACTCAGAGAGGGTGAAGTGCAAGGAGTATAATGAAACGCCTGTTGTCCAACAGTCGGTGTCGTTCAGTTTATGATGGCACTTGTTTCACAGTGTTGTGCCGTGCTCGTAGGTTTAGTACACTTAAAGTATTGAAAGCTGTGTTCATTCGCAAATATTACCCCAAGCTATGCATCCAGAAAGAAGATGTCCGTATACACCACTACCTTCTTTACAACACCAGAGTGCAAAACGATGATTGGTGGCTGGCCTTCCAAATTGTTTTCAGGGACCTCTGTGGTGGCAGTTTGAGCGTTGGCCCAAAGCTTGCCATACTGATAGATGTACTGACCAATACCACTGACATCCACTCCCTTCCACACTTTCACTCAGACCATGATTTCAGCATAATTGTATTTCAATGATACGAGCGAATACTCGCGTTTTGTAGCACGTGAAGATGTTGCCCCAAAGCGTTCAGCCGGTTTGACTTTCTAGGGATCCCTTTTCTCAGCACAGGCTGCAGCCAGCTTGGCGTCGTCTGGCAAGGTAGAGTACTGATAATACTACGCTCTGTTTTGCGCCGTGAGAAGCCCTCCATCAGTGTCTGCAACATCATTGTTGTCGATGTAGAAATACGGACCGCTCAGTGGGTCGACATTCAGCTTCTCCTCGCAGTCGCTATTACTCCAGCGCTGACTATCGTCGCCACCAGTATCCAGTGTCGATTTTATGAGGGCTCTTCGTTGCTATGCATATAAGACTCGCCACTGCTGAACAAACTCAGCGAGATCGCCACCAAAGAAATAATTCCGATCGCGAACTAACTTTCAGCGCCGCTTCGTAAAGGGAGTCCACGCTGACAACTCTGGACCTAAGTCCTTGTCGCGACACCTGTCGCCATCGCTGTGTCTAAACTCAACCTCCCTGTGACGAGCTCTCACCTAGCGCTAAAATCAATTGACCAGAGACATTTGAAGACACTTGAAACTCCTTTGACAACAAAGACACCCAGTCGATCGAAAAGAATCTTCAAACGCCGCCTCACTGCGCGTCCCAAACTTTGACGTCACATTTTGATGATTGATATCAAGTACACAAGTGCTGGTTTTTGCTGGCCGGGGCTCAAAAGTTTATAACTTTTTTCACTATTATTAACCCTTTACCGTTTGTACGTACAAATTTCGACCGCTCGCGGTCGATGACTTCTATGCGCACAGCGCTGGACTGGTTCACCGCAGAGAGCTGGGATTTTCCCTACTGGTAGCCAAGATGAACGCGCAGAGGGTGCCGGCAATTTTTTTGTGTGATGCAATATAAAAAATCGCGAAAATTGCGACTTGAAAAATGCGCTTGGGGAAAAGTGCGTACCCTGCGACTTTTGGTATTACCTGCAGATTATTTCGACTTTGCTTGAGCTGGCCCCACGCCTGTCTGCCCTGCTGTGCAAGCCATGGACGCGGAGCAAGCTCTTTCGCTTCTGGAGACCCTTCCTGACGACTCTGTCGCTGCCTCATCCAGCGAAGATGAGTTTGTGGAGCCAGACAATCCTGTTGAAAATATTTATTCTGACAACGACCGCGACGATGACATGGCGAGTGAAAGCAGCGCCAGTGAGAGTGACATGGATGTCACAGACGACGACAGTGTTGCTGAGATGAGTGCCACTAATGGTGGAAGGGGACGTGGCAGAGAGAGAGGATTCGGCCTTGGAATAGGCCGTCGTCACGATAGAGGTCGTGGTGCACAGGTACTATGTATAGCCAGCGGTGCAACCTGCACTAGTCGATATTTGCAATACTTGGGACAATGCTGACACCGCTGTGACTGGCAACACTCTGCATTCCACCCTGAGAACGAACCTGGTATCCACTTACCTGAGGGAGCCACTCCAGTGCTAGGATCTGATTTATTGCATATTGCAACAGTTTGCCCGATCGGCAATAAATCCAAATAATTATTAGTGCTAAATAGTGAAATCTGTGTTCGTTTTCTGGACTTGAAAGTTGTTGCATCGCATTCCTGAGGGTTTTTACTTTCAGAATCACCCCATTTTGTACATAATAAAAGTGAAAAATAAAAAAGTTACGGCATGAACAATGACGGTCGGTTTTTGCTGTACAAATACCTAAAACGGTAAAGGGTTAACTTTGTTATCCATCCGAACACTTACCATGACAGTAGGGCACTGAAGTGAGATTTCCATCAGCCGTGCAATTTGGTGTGGCATCACCCACGATCCGCTGACCCTCTTGGCAAGAATAGGTAACATTGTGCGTGAATTGGACAACGGCTCTGTCAGCAGTGCCATTGTCAATGAGAGGTACGTTACAGTACAGCGCTGTGCACAGAATAACGAAAACAAAATTTAATGATACATTTACTGTTTTAGCATCAGTATCGTGTTGATTGAGAGCGATAAAAGCACAGTCTGAGTAAGAGTTCTCGGTGTCAAGTAAAAAGTAAATTCTCATGAAAAATAATAACAATGCGGGACTCAGAGAGGGTGAATTGCAAGGAGTATAATGAAACGCCTGTTGTCCAACAGTCGATGTCGTTCAGTTTATGATGGCACTTGTTTCACAGTGTTGTGCCGTGCTCGTAGGTTTAGTACACTTAAAGTATTGAAAGCTGTGTTCATTCGCAAATATTACCCCAAGCTATGCATCCAGAAAGAAGATGTCCGTATACACCACTACCTTCTTTACAACACCAGAGTGCAAAACGATGATTGGTGGCTGGCCTTCCAAATTGTGTTCAGGGACCTCTGTGGTGGCAGTTTGAGCGTTGTCCCAAAGCTTGCCATACTGATAGATGTACTGACCAATACCACTGACATCCACTCCCTTCCACACTTTCACTCAGACCATGATTTCAGCATAATTGTATTTCAATGATACGAGCGAATACTCGCGTTTTGTAGCACGTGAAGATGTTGCCCCAAAGCGTTCAGCCGGTTTGACTTTCTAGGGATTCCTTTTCTCAGCACAGGCTGCAGCCAGCTTGGCGTCGTCTGGCAAGGTAGAGTACTGATAATACTACGCTCTGTTTTGCGCCGTGAGAAGCCCTCCATCAGTGTCTGCAACATCATTGTTGTCGATGTAGAAATACGGACCGCTCAGTGGGTCGACATTCAGCTTCTCCTCGCAGTCGCTATTACTCCAGCGCTGACTATCGTCGCCACCAGTATCCAGTGTCGATTTTATGAGGGCTCTTCGTTGCTATGTTGCCCTGTTCCACCGACTCATCATCATGCTCCGTATCCTCCTCTTCCTCCGTTGACCTCCGTGCTCGCTTCCGGTTACCTTCTCCAACCGGCCCCATAGCCCTCGCGCCACCACCACAGAAGAAAACCGTGTAGTCCACAGCTGTACGACACGGTCGTAAACACATGGAGCTGGTGGCCACTAGTCCCGAGGTTTTCTGTGACGAGCCGGCCGTTGGTATCAGATCATTGCATGTTAACTGTTTATCTGCCACATCCACTATGGATTGTTCCACGCCAGGTGCTCTAATAGTTGACGGTTCTGATCGCAACACGAGTGTAGGAGACACCACTGGCAAAGGAACCTTCCTCGGCCTGTCACACCCACTGTGCTGAGGAGCTGATGTAGACATGGGTGCAGTCGAAATGCTGTCAGTCGATTCCGAAGTCTGCATTGGAGGCTGCACTGGATTCTTTCGAGGCCGGCCGCGTCTAGGTCGCTTAGAGCGCTGGGATTCCGGTAGAATCTTCAATGGTACGTGTTGTTTGATGCGTGTGTACAGGTGTTGAACAGTCCTACCAACATACCGGCTACCACACTGCCGGCATTCAAACTGGTAAACCAGATGGCTAAGTTGGTTGGTTGGTAGGACATCCTTCAACACCCGAAATGCACGCATCGTTGTGAAGACTGGGCGAAATTTGACAGCGTAGTAGGTCTTCCGCACCAGAGCTCTCAACTCTCGGCAAACATTAATAGATTCTTGACCTTTCCAGGGCAGACACAAATAGATAGGGCACCTATCTGGACCAACGGTTGGTTCTTTGTCATTCACCGTGGCATGGAGTATTCACCGTGGCATGGAGTATTTTGTTGAGCACATGATCTGGATAACCGTTCTTTAAAATGAAAATTGATTTGAGGAAGTCCAACTCTGCCGACAGTTTGCTCTCAGAGCAAATGCGCTTGGCGCGATCGACAAGGCTGCGAACAAGATTCAATTTGTATTGTGTTGAACAGTATGAATCATAGACTATATACTGTCCTGTGAAGGTTGGCTTGCGGTAGACCGAGGTGAGGGTACAAGTATCAGTCTTCTCGACTTGCACATCCAAAAAAGCCAGTTTGCCAGACTGCTCGTGCTCGCAAGTAAATTGCAGGGCAGGATGCAGGTTGTTAAGTAACTCCAGGAACACATCACTCTGCTCTTTGTTGTCGAAATATGTGAATGAATCATCTACGAACCTTACGTACAGATCTGGCCACAAACACGCTTCAATTCTCGACTCGCAATACCCTACGAAAATGTTGGCTTCTACAGGTCCCAGCGGCGACCACATGGCCACTCCGTCAACTTGCTTATACATTATATCGTTGAAAGAGAATTCCACGCCAAGCGTATCCTGTGTCATCAAACTCCGGAATGCCTCTTCTGGGAGCCAAGGAGTACTAGTATCATCAATGTCGTTATTGTGGTACAAGGCTTGGGCACAAATGTCAATAGTCTCCATGACAGGCACATTAGTGAAGAGACTCACGACATCAAACGAGAACATTATGAGCATCCGAAGGTATGGGATTATTCTGAAGCATGTCAACAAAAGCAAACGTGTCCTTTACATTGCGCTTACAAAAATGTTCCTGGACCGGCTGCAGCATGCCACATAACCACTTTCAGATACCATACTGCGGTGAAGCATTCATCGACAAGATGGGGCGAAGCGGACAAGATGTTTTATGAATCTTAGGGAGTCCATACAATCTCGGGCGTGCAGAACCAATCGGCTTCATTCTCTGGAACTCGGATTTTGTAATTTCCTCCCGCAGTTTGAGTTTCTTGAAAAGATATGATACTAGGTGTGCTTCCACTGTGGCTGTTCTATCATCATGGAAACAGGGCCAATAAGCTGGAATTTCGTTTTGTCTTGCAGGATGGTGGCCATTTTGTTAATGTAATCCTCATGGGTTATCAAGACCGTCGCACGGCCTTTATCCGGATGTGTAACAATGATATCGTGGCGATTTAAGAGTTCTCGGCGTGGTTTTATGTGCTCTTTCGACAATGAGAAGGACTTCAGGTCAGGTGGTTTGTCCGCATGTTCTTCACCGAGCGCTCTGATGGTAGCGTCGCATATTGACTTCTGTGCCTCCGAACTTGGGGCGAATTCATGTATCTTGCGATAAAATAATTCAAACTCGTTCATTACTATTTCTCTTTTGTTGGATGAGGGCGGAATGCCGTAGTCAGTACCACGGCAAAGCAACTCCTGTTGCACAGGAGTCAGTTGTAACGAGTTCATGTTAATGATCATGTCAGGGGCCCCCTCCGTTCACACTTCCTTTCGTCTGTTCAGGTTCTTTCTTTGTTTTGCTGATGCTGATGATTCACATATGCCTTGTTCTTACCTGCTGAGCTTGCACCCCACTGAATAGATGTAGTATTATCACCTTTTTTGTTTCGCTCTTTTTCACCTTCTTTCACTTTTATTTGTCCATATAAGATTAGTTCAAGTAGCTCCCATTCCATCATTTTGTAACGTAGATTCACTGATTGTAACAAGAAAACATTTCTGAACGAATCTTCGTTTTCCCTTCTTTGTGTGCCTTGCGATGATCGTACAATATTTTACACATACATATCGACATAATATGAAATGCTTACTGTGCAATTAGTTGTCTTTGTAGCTATATTGAAACTATTGTCTCCGAAACGCTTGTTCACTTGTTTGTTACATTATTTATTTTAATCAGACGGAAAAGCAAACTGTTCTGACAGGGACGAACAAGAAGACTGACAAAAGGACTCTCGACTACAAAATCGTGCACGCTCATATCACACATGCACGAGACTAGATGAGACAGTTTGGGGAATGCCATCACACAGGAAAATAACACATCATTTTACAACACACCACTCCCTGCTCAATACACAGTGTTTCGGGGAATTCACCCCTCATCGGTTGAGCTTCAGTAGGCTGAGGAAGATTGTGCCTGAAAAGCACCACTTATATGGTGCTCTCCATGCACACACATCACCAGGGATACAAACTTACAGAGATGCTCCGTTTCCAGGAGGACAAAGATCTTGTGAACACGAGATAGCAGCGTGAGTCAGTGTCGCTCATGGAGGCGCGTGAGTTAGTCAAGTGAGAATTCAAGTCCGCAGTATGAAGACTTGCGCTACATTACTGCACAATTCCATATAATTATTGCGAGGCCTTGTGAAATGATTCTCAATGCGCACCTGGTACTCTTTCCACCACTTGGACATCCATGCTGTCACTCCAGAACACGACATTCTCCATTGCGATGGCGAGTGTCTTGGCTACGGACACACCAAGACGACATCCGATGACTGCTCCCATTAGCTCGAGTCGGGGGATGCTAACAGCTGATAACGGCGCCACTTTGGCTCGAGCCATGACGAATCGACTGGACCTCGTACCATCCTGGTACACATGACAGAGATAAGCGACTGCTCCATATGCATCTTGCGAGGCATCGCAGAATACATGTAGCTGAGTCTCCACCGCCTCTTCATCGCGTTGAAGACACCGGTGAACTCGGACATCCGGGAGTGCATCCATGTCGGCACACCACTTTTGCGCCTCTGCGCCTAGCTTTGGCGGCAGAGAGTCGTCCCAGTCAGCACCTGCTAGCCACATTTCTGGAACAACATGCGACCAACTATGGTGAATGGCAGTACGAATCCGATCGGATCAAACAATGTGGCTAGGTTCTTCAAGAACGCTCTCTTGGTGACAATGTCTGATGGCGGCTTGACATGAATCAGGAACTCGTCTTCCTCTGCTCGCCACTTAACTCCGAGAGTCTTGGTCGTCGGCAGGATTCCATTAGCGAGGTCCACTTCCTTGGCTCGGTCCTCCTCGGGGACTTCGGCGAGCACCTCAACATTGTTGGAAATCCATTTTCGCACATGCATTCCAGCGAGACCCCACAGCGCCGTAAGCTCGGGGTACAGCTGAATCGCTAGGTCTGTTGACTTTGTCGAGTCCATTGAATCGTCCATGTGCGTGGACTTCAACACGGTTTCTGCTGCCATAGGAAACTCCTCCTGGTTCCGCCGCGCATGCTCTTGCAAGACCAGTTGAGCTAAGAATGGAGATGCATTGATCCCGAACACCACTCTATTGTACTGGTAAACGGCCGGTTGGTCATCCGTATCTTCTCGCCAAAGAAATCGATGGAACTGTCGGTCATCCTCTTCCAACTCGATTTGTAGATACATCTCTGCCACGTCAGCTACCACTGCGTTTGGGTGTCGCCGAAACCGCAGGAGAACGTCGGTGAGGTCCCGTTGTAGTTTGGGCCCAGTGCTGATGTAGTCATTCAGACACTTGCCTTTCGTCTTTGCTGCTGCATCAAAGCCCACACACACCTTTGTGGATGTAGCCCCAGGTCGTACAACAGCAAAGTGCGGCAGATACCAGCCATCGCCATCACTTGCGTTGCTGATCTTGCTGATATACCCTTGTTTTAAGTGATGGCGAATCACGGTTCGGTATTCCTCAGCGACGTCTGGCTCTTTCGCCAGGCGTCTCTCTGCTGCGATGAGCCGCTTCAGTGCAGTTTCTCGACTGTAGTTGTCCGGAGGTGGTCTCTTGATCCACGGCCCCGAAACCTGGTATCTTCCGTTCTTGTAGGTCATCGACTGGACCGTCTGATCAAAAACGGCTTGATCATCTGCACAGAATTCGTACGACTGGGGAAGTTCCTCCACCTCCCACATCCTTCTCACCAGTGCATTCAGGTCGACGTCCTTTCCGAAGTACGTGCGGGTGAAATTTGTCGTCTGTTGTGGTCTGGTGCTCCTCCCAACGCATGTCCACCCGAGTGGCGTTCTGCGTGCGAATGGCTCATGAGCCTCACCATAGACTTCCTCCATGCAACTGTGGAGACTAGCGTGGTCAAGGCCGATCAGCGCCTCTACTCGCTTCTTCTGGCATTGCGGAAACTCGATGCCGTTGAGGTGCGGATACCGTGTCTGATCTACCAACCAATCATGAGGTGTAAGGTCACCGGTGACATTCTTGGCAGTCAGAGCAGAGAACTGTGTGATAAATCTGCCATCCAGACTCTCGATGTGGCAGTCAACTGGCATGGTCTCTAGGGTCTCGATGTGGCCGTTCAGCGTGCTCACTGACACTTCTTGTGTGGGAGCGCTAAGCTCTAGCTGTGCCGCAACGTCGCAATTAAGGTAAGACTGCGTGCTGCCGTCGTCCAGCAGCGCGTTGACCGCGACATTCTTGTCGCCGTGGCGAAGTATGACGGGAACGGTTCGCAGTGCGACCGCTCTAACGCCGACACTACTCATATGTGTGGCCATGGAACTGGTGTCACCCCCTCCGTGGAGGCGCTAGACTGGAGCACTGGCTTCTGTGAGGCTCCATTCGAGTCTGTAGTAGTACTAGACTTTCCGTGCAGCAGCGCGTTGTGGGTCTCTGTACAACCGTCTGCACCACAGGGCTGCGATCTGGGACAGTTATTTCCCAAATGACTAAAGTTAAGGCAACGGTAGAAAAGCTTGAGGGTCCGGGCCTTCTGCCAACGCTCTGCAATTGACACCTTCCGATACTCTAGGCATTCCCAAACGGGATGGACCTTCGTGCAGATCAGGCAACTGCTGCTGCTCTGGGCCTTCTTGGGCTTGTCAGCGAAGAATGCCTGATGCTTCACTCCACCATGACTGGCCTGGCCCTTCAGCGGGTGACTCTTTGCTGTTTGAGTGGACCCTACTGGAGTTGCCGTGGAGATACCTTCGATTGTCTCCTAGGCTCGTACTTGGAACTTGCTTTCCAGCTCCACCCATTGCAGAAGCGCTTTGACAGATTCAGAGGTGCTTGTCTGGTGTATCCACTTCTGGTAGCTCAGCAGAAGAGACACCCCCAGCTTCTGTGTTAGCCGGACATAAAATGTCCCGTTGGCCAACTCCTGTGTCTGACCACTAGCCTTCAAATTCACCACCGCGACATCGAGTAGCTCCGCAAAACGCTCCAACTCCTGGGCGTTTGCAGATCTCATCGCTGGGAACTTCTCAAGGGTTTCTAGATGCACCGCAACTAGACGTCGCTGACCACCGAACTTGCGTTCCAGCCTACGTCGGGCTGCCTCATACGCCTCGGCCGAGTAGCCAAGAGTGTCGATAGACCGTAGTGCATCGCCCGCGAGGTATTTTCGGAGCTGCAATAACTTCAGCCCATCCGGAATGTTAGCGCAGCCAATGCACATCTCAAACGCCGCCTTCCACGTCTCAGTATTGCCGCTTGTCGCCCTTGAATGTTGGAATTGACACTTTCTCTAAATGTCGGTACAACTCGATTCTACCAGAACTACTCGCTTGCACTGGTAGACCACTCGGCGAAGTCATGGCAACTGGAAGACTGCTCGGCTGCACAAGACCATAATCTTCACGGTGTGACGCGTGACGTGGCTGACCAACTGGTATTTGTTGCATGACCGGTTGGGTCGCTGGTGGTGTAGACATTACTCCAGACTGATTCGGCAAGACGTGCGTCGGGAAGTCGGGTGCCGACAAGAAACCCGGTGGTGTTCCAAATGAGAATGGATATCCAGAATGGGTCGGCGGTGGAACGGACAAATTTCCTTATCCCGGCACAAATGCAGGTGTAGAAGCCGAGAGAGTATGACTTGCAACTGCACGAGGCTGCACAGCTGGAGTTGGTTGCGTCCCACGAGGAGGCTGCACTGCAGGAGTTGGTTGCGTCTGGGCTGACTGCACGAGTATGGTCGTGGCCGACAATGCTCTGGGTGGTACACTGACCCCACTTGAACTACGGTTAGGGGCAGTGATTACGTTTCTTGCCGAAGCTGCCGACGTAGATACCGGTGCCTGCTGCGCGCCAGACTGAGCAATGCCACTTGCCTGGTTACTCCCTGGAGGCTGATGACCAATGTTCAGGGGTGTTGCCATGGTTTCGGCGGTTGCCATGGCAACCGGGTGAACTTTCGACAAGAGCTCCGCCGTAAACGGTAATGTAGGCACAGACGACAAAGAGACCGGAAAGGACACCTTAATCGTGCGTGACTTGTCTGTACTCACATTGGTTGCCATGGTTGCACTTGACGACGACACAATTGGCTGGCTGTCACTGACGCTTGCCATGGTGGTTGTGTTTATTTGAATTCGCAAACCGAACGGACTGAGCATGTCCAATGACAAGGAAGCGAATGAAGTCCAAGTAACCCAGAAATGGGGACACAGATGTGAAGAAAATATGGGAACAGAAGGCTCTCAGCAAAGGAAGAAGAGAAAAGAAGGAGAGAAAAAGAATAAAGGAGAAAAGAAGAAAAATTGTGGTCACGGCGAGAAGAAAGCTTTTAGCAAAAAGAGAAAGGAAAGGATAAAGGAGAAAAGGGGGAAACACATCGTGGTCACGGCCAAAGCCAGAGTAGCGGCAAGACACAGTAGACATAACCACAACAGGAACAGGCACGCATGAAGTATGGGCCATGCCGGCCCAGAAGCGGAAGACACCGACAGGAAGAGAGAAGAGAAGAGAAGAGAGAGAAGTCGAAGTATTGAACATCTACACCCACACATCCACACACCCACACACCCACACATCCACACACACATCCACACACCCACACATCCACACACCCACACACACACACACACATCCACACATCCACACACCCACACATCCACACATCCACACATCCACACACCCACACATCCACACACACACACACATCCACACATCCACACATCCACACACCCACACACCCACACATCCACACATCCACACACATGTCAGCCCCAGGCGGTTCGTCCTGTCTATCATGATGGTCACCACTTGGAGTTCTCAGGGGGAGTGCCGATGCATTTGCTCCCAGAGGTGCTCCCGAGGAAACGGCAGGCGGCTGAGGAGTCCCCTCGACAGTCGCACTCTGGCTGACACTGGATGCAGACACATTCCCAAAACGACTGAGACTCTTCTCAGCACATATGTTCTGTTTTTCCTCAAGGGCCTTGCTAGGAGAGTGTGGCGGTGTCAACATCCTCCCACTTGCTCTGGGATTCTTCAAGCTCTGCGTCAACATTGCCTTTACTAATCGTATGTTCTTGGCTCTGGTGATGGAAGCTGGCGAACTTTCACCCGTTCTGGCTCGACTTGGCCTCTTGCTTATTTCTGCCAGCACGTCGCTGGTCTTGCTGACAGCATCGCTGTAGTCGACGTTGATGACCTCTATCTCCTCGTGCACTTTTTCTGTGGGTAGTCCTAATTCTGCGTACCGAGTTACCAGTTTTAGACACACATCCACAGCGTTGTGAACACTCTCAGTCACGTCATCCAACAACCTCTTGATCTCTTTCGAGGTCGCATCCTCTTCGTAGATCCTGCTGAGCAACAAGTTTCGCTTTCGTGTGACATGGAACTTGGCCTTGGCCTTCTTGCACTCCTCAAGATCCATGTTGTCCAGCGAAAACCCGAAATGCTACTCACTACCACACTGCGCTTGGTGAAGGAACCACTACTTGACAACCATCCTCTGCTACCAATTTGTCATGCAGGTTCTCACACGCAACGGGAAGACTTCGTGGTAGTAAAATAGATATTTCGCAAACAACAAAAAGACAACTCTTTCTCTTCCTTTCGAAGAACCGAACTTGCCGAGCCTCATCGAAAGCAAACTCTGAAAAGACCCTACACTAGTATGGGATTCAGCGCAGAGCAAAAAATAATTATGAGTCATGACACAATGGATGCAGTGTAGCCGTGAAAACTGGTGAATAAAGAATGCAGCAGGTTGGCATCACGTGACCCGTCGTACCGCAGTACGCGACGGCGTCGCGGCTTAGAAATGAAAGGAAGCACTGCGAGAAAAGACAAAAAGAAAATACATGTCCCTCCGTCAAAACTTAGAAGAAACAAACAAAATGCGACCAAGAATCATTTTGAGAGTCAACGTCAATACTCTTGTGCCGTTGTGCAAATTCTTGTCTTGCATTGTGCAATGCAAGAAACAAACAACCTACGAAATAACTCGTGAACTAACTGTAGGCTAAATCACTACATGTACGCAAAATTGCGTTTCAAAATAAACTGAACTTTCTGAGACATTTCATATTTTACATCCTGAGAGAAATGAGCCAGGGACTGCCCTATGGCACTTTTTGGCGAAAAAAAAATTTTCTCTCGAAATGTTGGTATGGTATGGTAATGTGCTCAAACAAAATTTCAAGTTGATCTGCAATGGAAAAATGTGCCTAACCACCTATTTAATAATGGCATGTCAATTGAGCGATATAGAGCAAATTTATGTACACAGTTTGTAATGTTCTTTGTTTATCTTCATTCTTGCTAGTTAGGCAGTTCAAATGTATAGTGAACTATGCCCTCAGCTTCACCCAGTGACGCCTGCGCGCCGTCCACTAAATCTCGGTAGTACTGTCACTCCTCTTGTGCTAGTGATATGTGCGAACGCAGGGCCTGGACACTACATTCCGTCTCTTCCTCTGTACGGGCGACACGAATTTTGTCCCCCAGCTTGTCACACAGTGCGCATACGTCTGTCCTTGGCTTCATCACTTTGATGTGTGCTGCCTGTCTCCTCCAAATGTGGCAAAATGACCGGTACTGAACAGGCGAATACTGTGTGACGGTCTTGGTATAGATGTTGTATGCAGACTTCTTGTTCTTGGATGCTGGTAAGTATACTGGAGGGTCCTCAGCACGACCTCGCTCCGCTGCAGGTTGAGGTAGACCGTACGTGTTACCATATGAATAAATAAACTGCACTACATCCTGCTCTATGTCTGCTGGAATGGCTAAGTGCTCTGGTGCTCTCCCAGTCAAGCCATGGTGTGCCAGTTGAACGACTCATTTGTTGGCCTTTTTAATGAAGGCGCTTCATTACATGACTTCCAACAGCATGAACTGCCATGAACACATCTTTGCCCAAATCGTAACCATGTACATGATAGCAAAGTAGAAAGGTCGATCACCACCACCAGTCATCGACTTTCGCATGCTTCCAGTCAGTGCGCCCAGAACAAACTGCTTGAAGCGCTTTTTCGATTCTCGCAGTTTAGAGACTTCAAACATGTAGTCCTCGAGCTGCTTTGCGATGGGATGACTTTCCAATGATTCTTCGACTTGCATCCACAGCCTCTCTCAATCCCATCGCGTATGTCTGAAGACAGGAGACCACGCTTCACCTGCTCCGTCGTCGGTGGCTCAGATGCGGGGGCATCTGGTCCGTTATCCGATTCCGAGTAGTCGGTGTCACTCTTCGCGTTTGAAATTTCCGAGCTGTCGGGGCTTGGCGTTTTCGACACAACACTAGCAG